TTGAATTAAGTCTGCATTAGCAGGTATGCGAAAATGCGGTGTTTTGGCAGTGTTTTGGCGTGATGTTGCATCGCGGTTGATGGGGCCGCCATTTTCCAGTTTTGTCGGTTGCATGGGAGGTGGGTGCAAGAGCGGTGATGCAGGGCGGATGCAGCATTAGGTAATGCCGCATATGCTGAGTCATGGCACAGCGGGCGACGAGCAGGGGGCGGATGCGCAAACTACGTACTTGTACTACTTACTAGTAGCATGTCTTGTTGCATGCAGCCAGCGGCCATTCCGTCCTCACCGTCGCCTGCGCTCCCTTGTGCGCGTGCCCTCTCCCAGTTTCCCCGTGTGCAATTGGCAGCAGAAACAGCAGCACTGGCACTGCCTGGCCACCTGAGCCTCCCGAGCCGTGCGTGCCGTGTGTTGTCTGCGTCTTCATCCTCCGCTTCAGCGTCAGCCTCTGCAAACTGATCCCCAGGCTGGAATGCTGCTTGGCCGAGTCTCAGTCGCCGCCTGCACAAAAACTTTCTGCGCAACCAGACGACGACCGCTCACTCTTCTCCACACGCGCCCGCTTGCCAGGCTGCCCAGTACTACTGTGCTCGCCTGCGCCCGCCGCCTGCTCCACCCACCGCCGCAAATGGACCACAATGGCTCCGTCAAGCGCAAGCAACCCCCAACTTCGCCCGCCACCGACCGCCCCCTCAAGCACATCAAGCCCGAACCCTCTGCACACGTGACAAACGGCCACGACGACACCATGGAAGACGCCCCCAGCGAATACAGCGCCGCCGACGACCTGCCGCCGCCTGCCCACGTTGCTGCTTCCGCCTCTGGGCCTGACACGGCCGAGTGGCAAAAGACCATCGAGAACGTGGTGAAGAGCGTTGTCTCGATTCACTTTTGCCAGACATGCTCCTTTGACACAGATCCCGCCGTCAGCTCAGAAGCTACGGGCTTCGTCGTCGATGCCGAACAAGGCTACATCCTCACAAACAGACATGTCGTGGGCGCCGGGCCCTTTATCGGCTACTGCATCTTCGACAACCACGAGGAGTGCGACGTCCACCCCGTCTACCGCGACCCCGTCCACGACTTTGGTATCCTGCGCTTCGACCCTTCAAAGATTCGCTACATGCCCGTCACCGCCCTTAAGCTACGCCCAGACAATGCAAAGGTTGGCGTTGAGATTCGCGTGGTCGGTAACGATGCTGGAGAGAAGCTGAGTATTCTGTCTGGCGTCATCAGCCGACTGGATCGCAACGCGCCTGAGTACGGCGAGGGCTACTCCGACTTCAACACAAACTACATACAGGCCGCCGCTGCCGCCAGCGGAGGTTCTTCGGGCAGTCCTGTAGTCGACCGCGACGGATATGCCGTTGCGCTACAGGCGGGCGGACGCGCTGACGGTGCTGCGACCGACTACTTCCTGCCCTTGGACCGCCCTCTGCGCGCGCTCGAGCTGATCCGCCAAGGCAAGCATGTCACCAGAGGCACCATTCAGACGCAGTGGATACTCAAGCCCTTCGACGAATGTCGACGATTGGGTCTCTCTGCCGAGCTAGAAAAGGACATCCGCACCCAGTTCCCCAAAGAAACGGGCATGCTGGTTGCCGAGGTTGTTCTCCCCCAAGGTCCTGCATCGAACAAGGTTGAAGAGGGTGATCTTCTGCTGCGTGTCAACGGAGAGCTACTGACCCAGTTTGTCCGTCTCGATGCAATCCTGGATGAGCACGTGGGCCAAACCATTTCTGTGACCATTCAGCGTGCAGGAGAGAACATGGACGTCGAGATTGATGTCGGTGATCTCCATGCCATTACCCCCGACAAGTTTGTTTCTGTTGCAGGTGCTTCGTTCCACGACCTCTCATATCAACAAGCTCGCCTATACGCCATCTCGCTCAAGGGCGCAGGTGTGTATGTGTGTGAGGCGGCTGGCTCATTCAGATTTGCCGATGGCTACACGTCTGGCTGGCTGATTCAAGAAGTTGACAACCAGCCAACACCAGACCTAGACACTTTCATTCAAGTCATGAAGAAGATTCCTGACCGCAAGCGAGTCGTCATGATGTACAAGCACCTGCGCGATCTGCACACTGCAAACACGAGCATTACTGCAATCGATAGGCATTGGCACGCAAAGATTCGGGTAGCAACTCGTAATGATACGACTGGCTTGTGGGACTTTAGCCCACTTGCCGATGCCATACCACCTGTGCCTCCAGTTCCACGTCGTGCCAACTTTGTCAAGATGAGCTCTAGTTATCCAGAGGCTGTAGACATTGTCCGCAGTTTTGTACGCGTGCACGTCTCCATGCCCATCAAGCTCGACGGCTTCCCCAAGTTGAACAAGCAGGGCTATGGTCTTGTGGTTGATGCCGACCAGGGTCTTGTCCTTGTTTCAAGAGCAATTCTGCCCTACGACCTGTGCGATATATCCTTGATCATCGCCGACAGCATTTTTGTTGATGCAAAGGTTGTCTTCATGCACCCGTTACAGAACTATGCCATTGTCAAGTACGATGCCTCGCTAGTCAATGCACCTGTGAAGACTCCCAAGTTTGCAACGGATTTCATCAAGAAGGGTGCTGAGACTATTTTCTTTGGTATCAACCAAAACTTCCGACCTGTTGTGGCTAAGACGGTTGTGACAGATATTACTACTGTTGCTATTCCGGCTAGTGCAATCACGCCGCGGTACCGTGCAACCAATTTTGATGCCATCACCGTAGACACAAACCAGGCTTCGCATAGCGGTTCTGGTGTGCTTATTGCCGAGGATGGCACTGTCCAGGCTCTCTGGCTTTCATACTTGGGTGAGCGAACTTCGCATAGTGGCAAGGACGTAGAATATCATCTCGGTCTTGCGACACCCAACCTCCTTCCAGTACTCAACGAGATCCGAAGCGGCAAGACTCCAAAGCTTCGTATCTTGAACGTCGAATTCCAAACAGTTCAGATGAGCCAAGCTCGCGTCATGGGTGTTTCAGAGGAATGGATCGAAAAGACAGAAACGGTCGATCCAGAGCGCCATCAGCTCTTCATGGTCCGGAAGGTCGATTCGGGTCATAGCGATGGCCTTCACGAGGGCGATGTCCTTTTGACACTCAACGGCAAACTCGTAACCCGCTCTCCGGATCTGGACGTTATGTACAACAATGAAGTCCTTGACGCAGTCATTGTGCGCAAACGCGAAGAAAAGACCATCAAGGTCTCTACCGTTCCAACAGAGGACCTCGAGACCGACCGTCTGGTCAGCTTCTGCGGTGCCACTTTCCACCGTCCTCATCAAGCCGTGCGTCAGCAAATCAGCAAAATCCACTCAGACGTCTACATTTCCTCGCGGGCCCGTGGCTCACCAGCGTACATGTACGGGGTAAGTTTCTCGATTTCTCTTTCTGTATTTTTTCTTTGCTAACCAGTACCACTAGCTCGCACCCACAAACTTTGTCACACACGTCAACAATGTCCCTACGCCTAATCTCTCCGCTTTCCTTGTCGAAATCAAGAAGATCAAGGACAATGAGTATTTCCGCATGAAAGTCATGACATTTGATAATGTCCCCTGGGTCGCTACCATGAAGAAGAACGAGCACTACTTCCCTACTATCGAGCATATCAAAGATCCGTCGGAACCCCTGGGCTGGAAAAAGATTATTCACGAGTGTGATGTCGGAGGCGCAAGAGAGGAATTGGGACCGGATGAGCTGGAAGCGGATGCTGCTGAAGACTAGACGGATGGTTGTTTGGGTATAGACAATGCGGGGCTTGAAAGAAATTAATAACCACTGCTATTCATCTTAACGCACAGGAGTCTCGGATCATCATTCCATGTAAATGTGTCTATGTACTGTACAGAAAATATCCCAAACCAGACCAAACAATAATTTCTCTATCTCTGCATCTCATGCTCGCCAAACTGACTCTTATCCCCCATCTCCACCCCTCGTCGCTGCATCTCAACCGCGTACCGCATAACCTCCGCCTCCCACTCCCCCAGCGCCACCATCTCCCCTCCCAACAAGCGCTCCACCGCCCCAGCCAGCGCCATAGCACCCAAAGCTGCCTGATTCGTACTCGCCGCAGTATGCGGCCGAAACCCGGCAAGCGCATCACCCAGCAACACCACCCTTCCTCCCTCCAACACCGCCGCCGGCGCAATCACATCCGTAATCGCCTGCACAAACGGGACCTCCGTCCCCCGCACCACCTCCGCAAACTGCGGCGGTAACATCTCTTCCGCCCTCTTCTTCTGGCGCTCCCAAACCCGCGGGTTAATAGCGCCAGGCGGAAGCGTAACGTGATGCTTCCGCCCATGCACATCCGTCATAACATCCTCATGCTCCTTGGAACCTTGCGCAGCATTAACGTACCAGACCCAGTTTAGCAAGCGCTGCCCCGGTGCCGTAGTACCATGGGACCCGGGGATCGTGTAAGCGAGGATTTGGGTGCCGGGGGCATGGTAGAAGGTGAAGGTGTTTGTGAAGAGGGAGTGGGTGGGAGTGCTGAGAGAGGTTTCGGGGAGGGTGCCGCGCCAGGCTATGTAACCGGCGTAGGTACGCGCTGTGGAGGGGAAGTATGAGGTGCGGATTTGGGAGCTGGGGCCGTCGGCGGCGAGGACGAGGTCTGCCGGAGTGTTGCGAGAGGTGCCGGAGGTGTGGGTGTAGGATATTTGGATGGGGTTGGAGAAGTCTGGGGATGGGACGGCTACGCTTGTGACTGTGCACCCGTATTCGTAGGATGTTGTTCCTTCGTTGGGTTCCGGGGTGGGGACTGCGGCGTAGTCGGTTTTTGTGCCGTCGTAGTTTGTGCGGAGGAGGTGGTAGAGGAGGTCCCAGCTTGTCATGTGTTGGTCTTGGTCGTGGCGGCTGATTATCTTTCCTTCCTTATCGAGATATTGCCGCTGGTGGCTTGGGACTGTCAGTGGTGTGTGGGTTCGGTCGTGGGTTTCGAAGAACTTTTGTACTTTTGGGCCGGCTACGACGCCTGCGCCTTGGTCTTGGAGAAGGGGCGTTGGGTTGCGCTCGAAGATGCGGATGTTGAGGTCTTTTCTCAGATGCTTCAATGCGACTCCAGCCATGAGGCCGCCTAGTGAGCCTCCTACAATAACAATGTTCTTGGGTTTTGCTTGGGCCATGGTTGCGCGTGGAACTGTGAAAGGCCTGGATGGAATGAAAGTTTGTTAGATTTGAGCCAAAGGCTCGTAGTGCGTAACTACATTTTAAATTTAGAGAATATCAAGATCTATGCAAGGATAGAATCTTGTATTACAGTCAATGACATGATGCTGTATCCTAGATGGTGTCAGATTAGAAGTTGTCGGAAGCTCGATAGCGACGTCGCTTATGTTACCATGACGTACACTATATCCACAGGAATCGGAAACACACGAAGATCGTTGTCTAGCCAGTCAAATTCAGGAAAATGATCAGTTCATATTTCTAAATTACTTGAACCATATGATATATACTGATTACCTGCGCCTGCGCTCCTTGAAATATTTTAACCGCCCTAGTATCCTAACAGTCCGAGTATGTACAGGATTCCTTCATCCAAAAGTCCTCCTTTCATTGTCACTATCCCTTCTGGCTTGTGAATGTGTTGCGAATTTGGGTTTGACATGGACTTTCGGGCCCCTAAAGTACGGGATGTGTACCGGTACACAGAACGAAACAGCAAAGCCAAACACAACCAGATGTTGGCGATTCCAATCAGAACAGACGTGACAACTACACCAAACCAGTGGAGCGGCGGTCCTGCTACGACAAAAGCGCATATCAGTAGACCGTGTGGAAGGCAGATGATGTAGTATAGAGGACGATCGAGGCGAGTCTTGAGAACCACCTTTTCGCCTTTGGTGCGTCGCGCGTTGTGGTGACTGATAAAAGGGACAAAGGTACAGTAACCCACCACACACGAGACCGTTAATGCGACAAGAATGAAGGAAATGCTTGTAGGTGTGAACAACCACTGCTGGAAAAGATAGCTGTGCCTCTCGAAGAAGGAGAAGATGAGAGTATCGATATAGCCGCTCAGTAGAGCGAAGGTCAGGATAATAGGCTCGGAAATGAGCATTTCGTACGGCCGGAGCATTGCCATGGCCCATTGGGGGCATTGATACATCTCCATCCAGGCTTTGTCGTAATTGGGTCCATAGATATTCATGTTGCCCTCCTCTCTTTGCCTTTCCGCCTCACGATCCAGCAGAACCGACACCCGCATCTCTTCCGCAAGCAGCCAGTGGAGGAACTGTGTAGCTACACCAAGAACGAACTGAAGCCAAAAGGTCCATCTCCAGTCAAGAAATTGTTGAACTGCGCCTCTAGCAACGCCAGCAAGGACAGCACCAAGACATGTGAAGAGAGATGCCCATAAGACGGCACAGAACTGCTCTTCCTTGTCAAACATATCCTCGATGATACTCATAGTTACGTCGCATCTAGCTTACGACAATCAACCCACAATCCTCCCTCCAATGACTCCACCAAAGCTTCCTGACGATGCGCAAATCAGGACAGACATATTGGTCAGACCAAGCGAAGCCTGCGTGACTGACTTACGACCCATGTCCTCTGAAAACGGGCGCCAGAGCCTGTACCCGACTGCGTGCGAGATCAGGGAGGTTGCTATCCCCTTTTGGGCATTTTCGATGCCAAAGTATGTGTTAAGTGAGGGAACGGCGTTGGAATAGCTGGCTGTGTTGAAGGCTGTGCTGGTTTGGCAGGATGAAATGACAGTAAGGAGGATCCATTTTCTACGTGCAGTCCATGCGTAGGCTAGGTGGCTGCGTGAATTCTCTTTGGTGAGGAATTTGGTGGGGGTGAGGTGAGTCCGGGGAGAGGAGCCAGGTAGTTTGGAAGGGTGTAGTGGAAATGGTCTGAAAGGGTCTGATGAAGACATTGTTAGGAGTCACGTGGGTTTGGTGGAATATCTTGGCTACGTTGGATGTGTGGCTATCTCCGAGAGTGAGTGAGCTTTTTTTTGTGAAAGGCTTGGAAGGGAGTCACAGAGTATATGTTATTCATAGGCAGCTACAGATGCAGATATTGATTGCTATGTGTTTTCTCAACTGTGGTTGATCGGATCTTGTCACCGTGTGACCATAGTTGAAGTTGGAGGACATTATTCACAAGAGGGGTGCACGTATTAGTAATGAAGTTGTCTGTAGCTGTCTGATTAAAAATACGAACGGTAGTGTCGACTCTTTGATGTGTTGATAATGTGTATCTGTCGAGTCGCTCAGCTGAGTCGAATAGATTTGGGGTTGAGTACTCCAGTTTGTTCTTAATCACAAACTCAGCACGGAGTAACAGCAGAATGAAGATTACTGACCCAGATCTATCAATTAAGCTTAGCCATCGCTTCTGCGTACTTGCACTTGACGTACGACAGCGGCAGAAGATCGTGATTCGCTCTTCTCCACAGACTCCCATGTATAGAATGAAATCCCGTAAACACAAGTGGTTAGGTCCTATTGGATAGACAAATTGATTTTATGATCTGCTAGTTGATACATATCAAGAAAGGATTCGAGACAGCTATGCATGGTAGCATCAGCAAACTCATTGTGCCATGTCACGCAGTTCGTGGGGGAAACGCGGGTTGACGGGTATATGCAGAAAGCCGTAGGGTAGTATGTGCTCAGTATCATAATGTAGGATTGACTGGCTTCCAAGGTTGCACAAAGTTGAGCAAGACTTGCATAACCCCGCATATGTAAATATGCTTTCAGGGAAGGTGCATATCTTATCAGTCTCCTGAACATTGCTGCGTCAATGTTCAGGCAAATATCGTTACATGTACGGGAAAGAAGTGAAGATGTGACCTTCCTGCGAAAGGCATAGTAACTATCTCAAGTTGCTCAAGAGGTTTGAGCCAACCGGCGTGGTTCCATTTGTAGTACAGCGTTGTTGAATACCTTGTCACACGACACGGTTCTTTGAACCGAACAATTATAGCCATCTGAAATATAGTATACCTCAGTATTCAGGGATGGCCAGAATCCTCTGCACGGCCTGAAAAGGCAGGTCAAGTCCCAACGACGATGCCATGTCCAATGACGCTTTTGACAGACGCAATGACATCTCGGCGAGAAGATTTCCGTCAGATTCCCATCAGACCGGACTTGAAACCATTTCAAGACTGACAGGAGTTTTGAACCCAACTTGACGTAGAGTTGTGTTTTCAATGTTCCGGAATTGCGAAGGGTCAACGAACGCATGAATGTCAGACTTTCTGCCGGTTAATGGAGAGAGGTACAATCGAAACTGAAACTACTGAGCGGCATAGATCTTCCGTACAATAAAAGCCGATTTGCATCAATAAGTGCTATGTAGGCTGCCGAAGTCGCGACTGTTAGTGCGTACGCCGATACAGTGCGCCATGGATGCCATGAATGCCATGGTGACACTACTCTACTATTCGGGGTGATGTCGGTCAATACTACTAACAGCACACTTGTTGAACAGAGGAGTTCCTAGCGAGAATAGTTCGGATTACCTGTACTTGGCCTAGGCCAAAGCGGCGAAATTTAATAGTGCAACGATGCACCCGAGCCCGTTAAACGGTAGATGCAGTACGGAGGTGATAGTCGGCAGTGGTTCCTGGGGTTCTTGGAGCTGCTTGAAACCTCCGACGTCTGAACTGGGACGCGATGATCCAAGACAAACGAGAGCCACACACCCAGGTGGCCCATGCTCAACAATTCCGTCCAATCATCTTGCTGTTTTCAAAATATACAGATACCACTAGCTGACCAATGCATCCAGCAGTTCCAATCAGACTTGTCTCTTCTTGTAGCGGTAGCAATAGGACAAGGTAGCAGCCTCCATTCGCACGTTGGGCCTTGTGACAATTACCGGCATGCAGCGTTTGCACGTCTCTCCATGCAGCGGATGCGCATCCCTTCTGTTACACTAACAACATACAATCGTTCTGGCTGAGCAACATCTGTCTTTACCAGTTTCGAATAAGCGCGTGTGACTGAGGCCACCGAGCCATGTCCAAACACATCCCGCTGGCCCTCTTAGCCAGAACAGGCCCATGTGCCCGTCAAACTCAGTCCTTCTACCGCCTTCCCGCCTTCTGCAGTCGTATGCCGCTTTTCTCACCCTGCGGCCCGTTGCATGACTTGGGCCGTGTACTCGGTACCTGTTGAAATCAGTTTTCTGAGCAACACGTCTCCACATTCGTTCCATTAAGTAAGAGGGGGGATCCGGGTCTTCAAATCTTCATACCTCGTTGACTATCAGTCGAAACTATCACACTTACTCAGCACCCCTACAGCCTGGTCGTCATGGCAGCCGTCATGCGCCCGCGAGCGCTAGATGGCGAAAGGAGAATGAACATGGACGCCCTTGGGATAGCCTACATCGTCTTCGCCATATTCTACACCATCACACTGTCTGCAGAGCTCTACTTTTTATATCGACGACGTGATGCATTCTGCATACAGCTGCGAAATATCAAGGTGCTTTTCGCAGCAGTTTGTATGCTCCATGTGTATCTCACTATTGTCCTGTTTGTCTACCCTTGGAATGGCTTCTTTCCATGCTCAGCCGAATTCTGGATCATGTCTGTCTTCCTTCCATCTGGCATGGCATTCTTCCAGGGTGAGTAGTTCTGCTTACACGTATGGGCTTCGACTAACGCTTCATAGCTTGCAACGCAAAGGTTCTCACGGTCTATGAGAGACAGAATCGGTTGACGCGTAACTTCCTTGAAGGAGCACGCAAGAAGCGCATCTCATACACTCCCCGTGGGCTATACGAAGCGTGGCGCGATCTCGATGCAGCAAAGAAAGTGTACTTTGGTACCTTGGCTGGGTTGGCGATTTCCGTAAGAGCTATTTGCTTAGATCACAAATTCTTTGCGCTGACCAGTCCAGTTTATTCCTGCTATCATATTATTCTTCGGTTCGCGCCGTTTTCATGCGTCTTTCGGCTTCTTTGGAGTGGCTACAGACTTCCACAAATGCCGCCGAGGGGGTGAATGGTATGTGGCGCATTTGTGAAAAGATGGATGTCTGAACTAATCAGAGTGCAGGATTCCATCGATTTTTGTTCAATTGTTCTGGACGATGCTAGTGGGCCCTTGGATTCTATGGAAGATCCGCGACATCAGGGACGTCCACTCATGGGCCTGGCAAACAAGACTGGCCATCATTGCTGGGTATGTTTATTTTCTGCGTTCCTTACTCAAATCACTTACATTCTGGCTAGTCTACCAGGAACACCGCTTTGGATTGCCTTCACATACTCAAACATGAACATCGCTACCAGCGTCAACAGATTCTTCGCACCAGCAGGATGGTAGGTCTAGGTTTTACCCGTAGTGCTTCGATCTTGACATTAACTCAACCAAATAGGTTCATACCATCACTGATAGTTTGCCAACAAGTCCTGGTCGTCATCCCTCTCCGGGATGCACTGAAGATGCAGCCCTATCGTCGCTCTTCAATCTCCGAAACCGATTCTTTCAAATCTTCGCGGCCCATCTTGGTTGAAAAGTCGCCAATGGAGAGCCTCGACAAATCTTCCAGAACCAAAGTATCTATGCAAGCTCTGGAATTCAGCATCGAACACAGCATCGAGCCCCTCATTGCCTGGGCCGCAGCCCGTGAGTTCACAGCCGAGAACTGTATCTTCTTGCGCGAAGTGCGCAACTTTAGGAGAAAATGGGCCGGCCTTAAGGTCGTCACTACAGCGCAACGCCGCCAAATGTTTAACGAGGCATCACTCATCTTCTTCACGCTCGTCAACCCGTTTACTGCTGAGATGGCCATCAACATCGAATACAAGATCTTCAAGACACTACAAACCGTCTTCGCAGAAGTAGAATTCGATCCATATATGCCGCGCTGCAAAACGCCTGACGATGTCCAATCACCCGTCTTCCGGGAAAACGTCGTGTGCCCGTGGGAAGACACACTCAGTCGCCCAACTAGTATCCAAAGTGATACAACGTCATCATCAACCTCGAGTACAAAGAGCATAGTACCGAGTGAATTCACAGACGAAATTTTTGACGCTGCCTATGACAGCATCAAGTACCTTGTTTTTACAAATACCTGGCCTAGGTATGTAGAGCTCGCAGGCAAGCTTCACACCGCTCTCTGAACAACACGTCTCTTATGACTGCTGTTTCGACCAATGCCCCCATTTTTTTCTGCCTTTTACCTGCCTCCTTTCTTAGTTAGGATAATACCCTTGAATGACAATGCAATTGCTTTCCCTGTTCATGTTGTTGAACTTAATCATCCTGGCTGCGATCATTTACCTATTGCTGCCTTTTCCCCATTCCCCCAACTTCTGGAAATATCATAGAAAATTAGAACTCGTATTTTTCATCATAATTATAATAACAGCACATTAATCATTACTACCATCAATCTACATGCGTTACTATTGCCATCTTCATCGTCCAAGCCCTGATTCTTAGAAGCCCAAGGCAAGTTCTCTCATTGTAATCGCCAAGGACAACACCAGATCCACCTGTGGATGCGGTTTCGACATGCGTTTTGCTACCATGCGGGGCGCGTTCTAGAATTTGTCACGCTTCCAACCCTGATCGGCCGGCACACATACTTACCTTTCTTGGCAGTTGAAGAGCAAAAAAAAAGGGTATCCACTGTGATAGCGATCCCCAAGATCGACATGTGCACATGACATTGGCAGCAAGTATAGAAACAAATCCTTCCCTTTGTAAACCAAACTACGAAGCTCACTCCCTTCACCAACCTTTTTTTTCCTCCGATATGGAGAAGTCGATGACATGTCTCATACACGGAGCTTCTCACAAATACTAGGCCTATTTACCCGGATAACAAAACGTCGTCTGCAAGTCTAGACCCTTTAGGCGCAGCGAGATTTGCTCAGACAAGCCACAATGGTCGTTGACGAAAAAGAGTCTTTTCTTTCCCTTTGCTCATCTCTCATCGTTACAACCATCTGGTCGGGACCTCTATGCAGCGCGCGAAATTCATGCGTTAGGGGGTGGCACGGGAGGAATGGTAGAGTTGTGATTTAGGAGGGACGGGTGGCGAGTGCGTGGCTGTAGGTTTCGTATCTTGGAGCGGATGGTGTCACAGGTTGTGGTAATGCAGGATATGCACAGACCACGCGTGGTGAATCAGGCTGGCGGGATGGAGCGGCGGCTTGCCGAGTGGACGCTGGTAAGACGGAAGAGAAAATCAGTGGGGCGTCTCCTTTCGCACTTTGTTGTCTCCTCATGCGATTTTTATCAAAGAAGCGACATACGGTATTGGTGTCAATGTTGCGACCGTATTCTCCGTACCCGGTGCCAAAGTAGGGGATACTGCCTTCTAGTAACGCGGCGCTGCCGAGTTTCTCGAAGGGTTCTTCCTCTTCTTCGTTTTTCAGTCGATATTTAGAAGTTGGTGGTTCTATGGGGCCTTGTGGCGCCGGTGGAAAGGTTGCAAGGTCAGGCCATGCTATCGAGCATTCTGTGTTGGAAGATGACCAGTTTTCTGGGTGTGGTGGTGTTGAAGGCCAAATCGTCGGGTCGGGTCCAAATGGTTTCACAGTAGGCATTCTGTATGTTCCATCCGCTTGGCAGAAGAACTCGGTGATACGCTGAGGGGCAGGGATGACTTCATGTTTAAAGTTAGATTTGTTTTTGGAGTGATGGTTTATATCCTTCCTACCAGAAGGATTGGTCGCGGCGTTTGAATACACTGCACACCACGGGTCTGAGTAGCTGTCCGACCCACATGAGCAAGACTGCTCGCTTGAGGAAGCCATATTATCCAAGAAGTATGTGCGTTATAAACCGGTGATGAGAAGGTATGAAAGCTGTTTCTTTCTCCTTGTAAAGTGTCCTGCCGATGCATATCAATCTACAAGAAGCCATCATTACTAAATAGTAAAAAGTCGCATAGCATAATTCCCATACGAAGATACGTAGTAGAACTAAAGTTGAATGATTTTGTAATAGAATAATTATTGCCTCTTGAGGAGGCTTATAATCAAATGTACTGCCGGTGAGTGGTTGAATGGTAGCGACTGTGAACATAAAAATTCGCCGACTAGCACTCCAAAAAACGTGCGAACTATGGTAAGCGCGTATTAACCATGGTTAGTATATGCAGCATTAGTTTTGCTTTAGTTTTTAGTTTTTGTTCTTCGTATGTGTACATTTTGATAAAACCTAAGATTGAAACATAGATTTGGTGTAAAAACAAGGCGTAGCTCGAAGAGAAAATCAAAACGCGAACACAGCTAACAGGAACGTATGTATTTAATAGTAATTAAAAAACAAGAGACGTCCACGAAACTTTGAGAATAGGAAAAGGAAAAGGGAAGACGAAGCAAATTATTATAGATAAGGATAATAAAAGTACTTTAACGAAGACACAGGTACTAAAGTAGGTGAACATACCGTTAAATACAACGATAACAAAGACGATGATTACAAAAGAGTGATACTAGAAGGTTATAATAATAGCAGTAGTAGTTTTAGCGAGGATGAAAGTATTATCATTCTAGACGCCGATAATAATGATAATGATAATGAAGAAGAAAAACAATGATAATAATAATAATAATACTGTGTTTCCGAATTAAGTGAAATCAAGTTCTACAACCTGACCATAACCTTACAAGCATTATATAGGCTCATAAGATACGTTTTATATCTTTAGTGTGTATATCAGTTTTTTAGATGAATTTTCTAAGTAGGGTTGGTACCAGGAAAGCCTAACAAAGCAGAACCTTTGCAATTAGAAATTTCCTAATGTTTTCAAGATAAAAACTATCAGGTAATAGATAGATGGAGAAAATAGAGCTTAATCTGCACTGCCCTTCAGTACCGCTCGCTAGGCTGTTAGAGCTACCTTTTTTACATTCACAATCTCATTCTAGACCTACTATACCTAGCGAGATTACAAAAGCACGTGTATACTAAGAAGTAAAAGTTTAATAACATGATTCTACAACACATTACTCAAGACTCGCACTTGATAGAAGACCTTCTTTTAAATGTTTCTCTACAATGGTATGTCTTTTAGGACTAGGCATATTCTAGGCTCTAACCTTTGTAGCCTTCTTCCGCTCTACTCTATAAGAGACATGGGAACTCGCAGAGCTCCTTATACTCCGTTCAAGCGCGTAGCTATAAACTGTTATCGAATAGGTTAAGCTGTATATTTAAGCTGCGTGAGATAGACCTTGGGGTAAAGGTATAATTAATGTTGTATAGAGTGAGCTCGTCAAGGGGCGCGTAACTGACGTTGGTGCGAGCGGCAAATAAATAGAGAGGGACTTTCTTTTACTTACGAATGAATAGCACCGGAATACTCATCAGAGGCTATTTATTTTTCCGGGGCTTACATGAGGTTTTCTTACTCCTCGCCAGCGCACGCGTTTTATAGTGGCGCGTTTATAGGCCCCGTTGCTGATGCCGGCCCAGCTTAGAACGGTGAGGACATGGCGTGACGAAGAGTGATATTTAAATATGTAGAACGGAAGATACTAATAAATATAGAAACGATGATAATTTAGAAAAGTGTATAGATTGTTATAGCGTAGCGAGAGCGTTTACAGCAGCACAGCTAGCGGAGGGTAGTTAAAGACAAAGGTAAGAAGAGAAGATAATAGACCCCATCTTCTATCAAAGTCTCTCTATATTGCACTCTCCATCACACGCTACTGGTAACATCAGGACTGTGTTTATTAAAAAGAAATGCGTATACTTGATATAATCGTATCAGCTTATACGAGGCTATCTAAGCTGGCAAGATTTGTAATTTTTTAATCTCTAAAATAGTGCAGGAGTCTATTAGGGAGCAAATAATAAAAACAGATTATACTGAACTAAAACAGAAAAGCCCCTTCTTAAGATTGATATATTAAAAGACACTTGGTTGAATATCAAAGCTGGCTTCAATGTCGAGGGCATTACTTTTCAGTGATACAGGAGAAAGATTTAAACTCTTAAACTTGCAGATCCCTTGGCATTGTAATAAAAGAATCTTTGAGATACTGAAGAGAACCTACTACAATACCCTTAAAAAAACGTATATAAGACTAACTACTAAACATTAATAATAACTTGGAAAAGATGCCAAGACGTAACACTCTTTACAGTCTGGTTAGTCTAACCCGATTAGGTACATGGCACGATCTGCCAAGCATCTTAAAAGTCGATAATAACCCTACAAGGAAATCCATTTCTGACTACTGAGCATACTCTATCAAGACAGACTCAAGGGCAACATGTCTAAAACAAGCGATAGTGTACATCCATAGCCGAAAAACGTAAAAAGTTGTTACAGGCAATGTGTAATCTTGAAATCACAACTCAACACCCAACCACCACCACCTAACCCTCTTTTCTAACTTCACCACCAAATTCTCAGTTCGTCTTCGCAATTTCTACGCCGCCTGTGGCCCCCAATATTTTCCGAGGTACCTCTTAGTTTAGGTTTTAGGAATCACAGAAATAAAACGTGCACATGTCTAACATAGAGAGAGAGAGAAGATGGAACCCGAGCAACATTACGCGTTCCCATGTCAACAATGCAATTCAAGACATTTATACCATTTCTTTCATTGTTTAAAAGGGTACATAGCCGTTCAAAAGAACAGAAAAAGGTAGCTTAATGGAACCCTTTCCGCAATCCATTTGAGAAGAAAAAAAAAGTTTTATCCCAGCTCTTGGGATAGTGCAAAATAAGAAAAGAGAAAAATGACAAAAAGGCACATATACGTGCACTCAAAAACACTTCTTTTTTTGCTCCTTGTCAGCTTCCACGATTTGAACCTCCCACCCCAACCCGGATGTGAGAACGCCATCGCTGATGAATGCAAACGAATAACGAAAAGATCCCCAAAAAATCGGGAGAAAATAATCTTTCTTGAATTTCTTCATACCCGTCCAGGTACATTAGTGGAGATGGGGGGCATGTTCCTATTAACCTCCGTCTTGATATCCTTGTCCGTGTTCTTCATGCGTGCCAAGATGAGCGTAAGCGTCTTCTTTTCGCGGCCATCATTCTCGAGCACGTGAATGAGATCGCGAAGTTGGATGCCAGCGCCCGTCTCTGTCTGCTCAATGGCCTCGCCGAACTTGCGTTTGCGGCCGATAAGGGCCTTCTCGGGCGCTTGGACGGCCGGTGTTGCCGTGCCGCTGCCGCCAGATGCTGCCACAGGCCGTGGTGTTGAGGCGCCAGATGCGCTTCCACCGCCTCCACCTCCGCCTCCGCCTCCACCAGTCATCCATGAATACTTCTTCTTTTTTCCGCCGAGGGCCATGCTGGCTGTTTCGTTGGCTTTGCCGAATACAACGACGTCTGACTGGCTCTGCTTCTTCGCAGCTGCCAAGGCTTTCTTTGTAACTGGCTCCGGGAGCGGTATTGGTATCGCTGGCGCATCTGCTGATGTACTGGAAACACCCGCTTGTCGCTTGGCTCGCTTGCGAAGGCGTTCTTGTTCCCATTTGTAGTCGTCTTGAACGCGCTTGGTAAGTGCATTAGCGACGCGGTTGACATTTTGAAATGTCCGCTGGGGGGTAGGCGGCGCTTCGCTTGGTGGTGTAGGTAGACGTGCTGCATTGGGTAGGCCTATGTCTGTTAGCTGCTGTTTCAAACACTCGAAGAATAAACCCACCCTTGTTTGCTGTCGCTGTGGGGCTGACAGCACTATCCGGTGCTTCCCATGGTGTCTTCAAGATATTAACAGGCCGAATCATCTTTTCTTGAGCATTCTCATCTATAACGGCGATATCAACCATCTGAGGGGGGATGACGCCATCGGAGGTGTTCTGGCGACCTTGACACAGAGCAAAGGAATCTTCGACAAGAGTCCGTACACGCTCCTCGGCAGCAAGAGTTATTAATGTCAGAATCTCCACAAGCGGAGCATTCTGGTTGAGCAGACTGGCAGCTTCCAGACCGATGATTTGCTCGCCGTTTGCGCCGGTCTGGGTACTGCGCGTAATCTCTTGCTGGCCCTTGTCAGGGATCTTGTCGAACAGACCATCCACGTTGATCTGAATTCCGTGCTCGTATCCACGTTTTGCGATGCGGTGCCGGAGCACACTTGCCGACAGGAATGGGTCATTCAAGGGGTGTTGAGCCGACTCATTCAGGATCCGAGCGGCCTGTTCGTGCTTCCTGATAAACTCGGCTTGCTGCTGCTCCTTGGTCATTTCCTGGCTGAGCGGACCGGTTCCCTGGTATGCGCCATGGCCTTGCTGGTTCCAGTTGTTAAAACTTCCGTGCGGTGATACTGTAGATGCAGAGCCTTGTGAGGTGAAGCTCCGATAGTTCTGCAGCAGATTGTCCTCCTCGGCGCGCAAGTCGATACCCGATCCGGTGAGCACATCGCTGATGTTATTAACGTCCAAATCGCGCGCATTCGCCTTTTCCAACTCCGAGTTGTCAGTGGCCTTGCTGTACGGAACCTTTGGCGGCGGCATAGAACTCTGTGGCGCGGGCGAGTGCGTATTTGGTTGCTGGTAGGGCTGCGGCTGGTGGAAAGGCGGGGGCTGCATCGCGGCGGGGGATGTTGGCAGCGATAGATAGCCGGGTGTCTGAGGGGAATTGGCGTATGGCGACGAGGGATATGCCGGCGCGCCAGGCATGCCGAAGGGCGACTGGTACGGTGCTGGCGACGGCGGGTTAGGCGACAGGCGCTGTCGCTTGTTGGGAGGAATGCCGCTGCCCATGGTCGGGGAAAGGGCCGTTGGTGAGTGCTGGTAATTTTGCGGAGAGAATGCGCGCGGCGGCGGCGGCTGCTGCTGGCCCTGGGGCGGAGGATACTGCTGGTTGTAGGACATGGTGGGCAGCTCGTCCCCTGTGGGGAGTTGCGCAGGCGAGAAGCGTCTATCCGCGTGTCATCCGGGAGTGGCAAATTGTGCGGGTGACAGGGCTGGCGATGAGCCGTGATTTCTGTAGACGGTCGCGGTGGGTGGTGTCGGTCGGCGCGTCGATACCTGTGGGAGTCTTGATGGAGCAAGGTTACGAAGTTACGCCAGCGGTGGCAGGCGCACTAACTGGGGCTTGGCAGACGCGCCCGACAAAGCGCAGCCGCAACGGAACATCACCTCACTCTCACCCAACGCGCAACAACACCAGGCAGTAGCAGCAGCTTTACCTTCACCCTCGCCTGTCATTACTGGGGCGCATGATTGCTACGCGGACACTGACCATCTGACGAGTGAAGCTGAGCTAGAGCGTTCTTTGTTGCACCTTCGACGCGTTCTCTGGCACTCATCTTTCCCCCATCTTTTGTAGTATCCGCCTCTTGCCTCGCCCGTGTCCGTCAAGAAGAAGTGCGCTTGTTTGACCCTGCCTGCTGCAACCATGGCTGCAAAGAGAAAGGCGGCTGCAATGGCGCCCGAAGACGACGACCCTATAGATCCCTCCGACGAGCTCATGTTCCTCTGCTTGGGAGGCGGCAACGAGGTTGGGCGGTCATGTCACATCATCCAGTACAAGGGCAAGACGGTCATGGTGCGCAGATAGACTCGGAGCCCAAGACGACCCTGCTAACAAGGCGCAGCTCGACGCCGGCATGCACCCCGCCCACGAGGGCTTGTCCGCCATGCCCTTTTACGACGACTTTGATCTTAGCACTGTAGACGTGCTCTTGATATCACAGTATGTATACGCACATCTTGCTTGCTGTGGGACTTGGGGTTTGGCGCATCACTGGAGTCGGACCATGAGCGCACATTGGGCACTCGCAGTTCAGCGACTTGTATATCAGTATCAATGGAATATAATTTGCATCCTCCCCGTTCGACTTCAATGATGTACCAATCCCCGCTTTCCGCCCCTGTATCTAGTTCCTCCTCTACGTCTGCTCTCCGAGCTTGTCCTTGTCCTTGTTGGCCGTCGTTCAGTAGGCTGACATTAGGCTAGTTTTCACGTCGACCATGCAGCTTCTCTCCCATACGTCCTTGCCAAAACAAACTTCAAGGGCCGTGTCTTCATGACACATCCTACCAAAGCAATCTATAAGTGGCTCATCCAAGATTCGGTCCGTGTTGGCAACATGTCAAGCAACTCTGAGACCAAGATCCAAATGTACACTGAGGCCGATCATCTCAACACCTACCCCATGATTGAGTCCATTGATTTCTACACTACACACACAGTCTCTGGTGTACGGATAACACCGTATCCAGCAGGTCACGTACTTGGTGCTGCCATGTTCCTCATGGAGATTGCTGGTTTAAAGATACTCTTCACTGGCGATTACTCGCGAGAAGATGACCGACATTTGGTGTCAGCTTCCGTACCGCCTGGCGTCAAGATTGATGTTCTCATTACTGAGTCAACCTTTGGTATCTCGATGCACACTCCCCGTGTTGAGCGAGAAGCACAGCTCATGAAAGCCATTACTGATGTGCTTAACCGCGGTGGCCGGGCCCTGCTCCCAGTTTTTGCCCTGGGACGAGCGCAAGAGCTTTTGCTCATCTTGGACGAGTACTGGAGCAAACATCCAGAGGTCCAGAAAATACCCATCTATTACAACTCGAGTCTGGCGCGAAAGTGTATGCAGGTCTACCAAACATACGTTTCGGCCATGAACGACAACATCAAGCGACTCTTCGCTGAGCGCATGGCAGAGGCCGAAGCAGCAGGCGACACAGGCCGTCGTGGAGCTTGGGACTTCAAATTTGTTCGATCACTCAAGAGTCTGGAGCGCTTCGATGATCTGGGAGGCTGTGTCATGCTGGCTTCACCTGGTATGATGCAGTCAGGGACATCACGTGAGCTGCTTGAGCGATGGGCGCCAGATCCGAGAAACGGTGTCATCATCACGGGTTACTCTGTCGAAGGCACAATGGCGAAGCATATTGTACACGAGCCTGATCAAATCCCCGCTATAATGACACGAGCAAGCAACACAGCGCGTCGACCAGGTCAACGGGAGAATGAGCAGACCATGATACCCCGACGGTGCACAGTCCAGGAATACAGTTTTGCTGCTCACGTTGACGGAAAAGAGAACATGGAGTTTGTGCAGGAAGTTGGCGCGCCAGTTGTCGTAAGTTCCTAAAAGCCTCACGCTTAGCATTCAGAGTTGATTGTGGATACTAACACACACCCTAGATTCTTGTCCACGGCGAAAAAGGCAACATGACCCGCTTAAAGTCCAAGCTTCTCTCTTTCAATGCCCAAAAAACCATTCCTACTAAAATCTACTCTCCGGCCAACTGTGAGGAACTCCGCATCCCCTTCAAAACCGACAAGATCGCAAAAGTTGTGGGAAAGCTAGCCTCCATTACTCCGCCAATGCCTCGTTCTCTGACCCCTGGTGGCAGTGAATCTGATCAGGCTGGGGCAAAGCAGGAATCGGAGGGGGAAAATATAGACATCATCAGTGGAGTGTTGATACAGAACGATTTCAAGATAAGTCTCATGGCACCAGAGGATTTGAAAGAGTATGCTGGATTGACAACTACGACTATTCTTTGCCGTCAACATATTACACTGTCGGCAGCAGGCATTGATTTGATACGGTGGGCTCTTGAAGGCACGTTTGGTGCCATCAAGGAGACTCGTCTCACTGATGCAGCTGTTGAAGGCAAGATGAACGGCACTGAAAATGGGCACAAGGAAGAAGCAGATGAGGAGGTCAACCGGACGGAGATCAAATTCACCGTCATGGATTGCGTAGGCGTGCTCGTCAAGAACGGTGGTAGGGTGGAAGTCGAGTGGGAAGGCAATGTAATCAACGATGGAATTGCCGATGCCGTCCTCGCCGTCCTGTTCACAGTTGAATCCTCCCCAGCGGCTGTACGGCGTAAGTTTTGCCCCTATCATGTTTTCCAGTCACATCATTTACTAACATATCCAACAAGAATCATCAAAGCAACACTCGCACAACCATGGGCCTCCAGCTTCAGACGACATTTCTACCATAAAATTTGCTCACCGCTTCAAGGATAAACCGCATCCTCATCGGACACCTGACCCTTCGACACGTCTTGCTCGCCTTTTCCTCTTCCTAGAGGCACAATTCGGCGAAGAAGCTGTCCGTCCCATTACACTTCCTCGCAACAGTACCACAACAGCAACCACCAACGGAACACCAGCCGCTACTACAGACGCCGACACACCCTCTCCAGAGGCTACAGCGCCTGACGCTACATCTGCAACAGATACTCATGGCGCCACCGAATCTTATTCAACCGATGACCAATTGTCTACAGAGGACAAACAGGAGTTGAAGCGTTTGCACAACCTAGGCATTCCTGTTCCAGGAGTCGAGATCAAGTTTGATCGCTTTGTGGCCAAGGTGTGGCTGGAGGATTTGGATGTAGAATGTTCGAATAATGCGCTACGAGCACGTGTCAAGGCAGTTGTAGAAAGAGGAGTAGAGACGGTTAGTGGCTTGTGGTCGTAAGAGCCAGTGACTTGGTAACCTGAGAAATGCAAATATGGTCGGGAATTACTGGCTTCGTGTTTCTTTTTTGCATGGTGGCGAAGGAGGAAAATCTGTTTCTATTTTTGTCTTTCGCATGTATCTCTACCGCTTCGAGAGATGGGGCAAATATGCCATTTACCTTGAATACACCTATGACGTAAGAACCGTATAACGTGGCTTATCAGAGCACAACTGCATGTCGCACAATCACAAGACTAGAATTTTCTCTTGACTTGCACTAAAGTAACAAGTGACCAAATCATTCCGACATCTCTAGCCAGAAATGGGGGCAAAAGTTTGAATATTGTCAAGCTAGTTGCGGGGCGCGGAGCTGACATGTGATTCAGCATAGTGTTAGTGCGGTGCAATATGCTTCTAAGGAGCTAGATATTAAAACAAGGGCGGCTCCGCGTTGATAGAGCGGTGAGAATTGTAAGTAAACATATAAAAAAGAAAGCGATGCGGCTGCGGGATTAACAGACCCGGGCTCCGGTTGCGCACGCACTAGAGTGCAGTGACGTGAATGGAGGAATGCCGACAAGGGCGGGTATCCGGATTGTGGTCGGAAAAGAACGGGTCCTGTGCCAAGCACAAAACTTCTCACCAACAACTAGGGTTTCTTGATCTCCATCTGTCCATTCTCAACACCACCGCACCGCACCTCACCTCTCCACTCCACTCCACTCCACCCTCTTCGCGTCTACAATTCATATCAGCGAAATGGCCACCTCTCCTCTACCCACCTCGACCGGCTCCTCCAAGCTCGACGCCGCAAAGGCTACGATTGGAGCCAAAGTCGATCCGGCCGCGCCCACCGGCGTTGGACTGTATGCGCGATTCGCTTTCGCTGGTGCCGTCTGCTGCTCCGTCACCCACGGTGCCCTCACACCCGTCGATGTGTATGTTTCTCCGCTTCTTCAATGACTCTGGGCGATGACAATGGCTGTGGAGAGCATATTTTTTTGCGACTCCCGGCGGCACATGGAAAATGACGACAGAATGCCAAGCTAACAATCTTCACAGCGTCAAGACCAGGATACAGCTTGACCCCGCTACCTACAACACTGGCCTGATCGGTGGCTTCAGAAAGGTTATTGCCAATGAGGGTGCCGGTGCCGTCTGGACTGGTTTCGGTCCTACCGCTGCCGGTTACTTCCTCCAGGGTGCCTTCAAGTTTGGTGGTTATGAGTTCTTCAAGCAGCAGGCCATCAACATGGTCGGCTACGAGACCGCCTCCAACAACCGTACCGCCGTCTACCTCGCCTCCGCCGCCGTTGCCGAGTTCTTCGCCGACGTCGCCCTCTGCCCTCTTGAGGCTACCCGTATCCGTCTCGTCGGTGACCCAACCTTTGCCAACGGTCTCGTTGGTGGTTTCAGCAAGATTCTGAAGAACGAGGGTGTCGGTGCCTTTTACTCTGGTTTCGGACCCATCCTGTTCAAGCAGTACGTCACAGTCTTTTTGATGCCAGACTGATCCCCAACTAACCATCCGACCTAGGGTTCCTTACACCATGGCCAAGTTCGTCGTCTTCGAGAAGGTCAACGAGGCCATCTACACCGTCGTCGACAAGAGCAAGACCTCTTCTGGCATGCAGACCTTCTACAACCTGAGCTCCGGTCTGATGGCTGGTTTCGCCGCTGCCATCATCTCGCAGCCTGCCGACACTATGCTCTCCAGGATCAACAAGACCAAGGGCCTGCCCGGAGAGGGAACCACCAGCCGTCTGATCAAGATCGCCAAGGAGCTTGGTGTCCGTGGTTCTTTCGGTGGTATCGGTGCTCGTCTCTTCATGGTCGGTACTTTGACTGCTGGACAGTTCGCAATTTATGGAGATATCAAGAAGGCGCTAGGAGCCACAGGAGGCGTAGAAATTGCGAAGACGAACTGATTTTCGAGCAGAAAATAGACGGGGAGTTGATAGTTTTGCGGTTCTGAGATTTCGCATTGGATGTAACAAGTTCTTTTCAGTTTTTCCGGCTAGCAATGTACACTATCAGGCTTATTGTGGGCGTCTCAAAATGTGGGCCTATTGTCGTGGATAGAGTATATTCCATGTAGTCAGAATTTTACTTTGTTCCCTGTGCTTGTTGTGTTGTTCTGGTATACATGTTTGATTGTTACTAGGGAGTTTTAGCGCGGATTAGGGGATTGGTGCTACTCGGGGCGTGGAACTACTGCGTTAATCAGAGGCAGCAACAAGACTACTGTAGGGGCTTTTACGATTGCTATCCGATTCTCTTGCTACATCCATGTCTTCTGCCCCCATATCCTCCTTAAAAGGGAGTATCATGTTGTAGATCAGCGTGGTTGATATCTCAAGACGCAGCACCCTTTTCAGCCCGATTAGTCTAACCTAATCAGGCATAGCGGAATCTACCCCGGCGCGCTGAGTCCACAACATGATATGAGAGCAACGCGTGTCCGTCATTTTGCTAAATTGTCTTCAAAAGCCCTGTTCGTATTTTACCGACAAACAACCGCGTATCTCGTATCTCTTCTTTCTCGATACCAAAACGCTCCAATTGAAAGTTATTCCTTACCGTGTATGCACTACTTTCTTCCATTCTTCATTCAAGGTCAAGGATTATTCGCGTCATCAATTTCCGCATCATCAAACACCAGTTGCAGACACTATCCAGCAAACGCGATAGCAACTTACTCGCAACCACAAAAAAAACGTGGCAGCAAAACTGGCCATCATCACTAGATGAAGGTAACTTGACGGCGAAAGCGGGGCCGAGCTAGGCTTTCCCGGTTGGTAAATGGGAAAACCCAGAAGCCTGTGAATTCGCAAACCATGGACAATTGTGGTTCAGGACTACAGACAAAAACCAAAAAAAAAAGTTGACGAAAGACGTTCAATGGGCGTAACCGGACGTATCGTTCTCACTGTCGGAGTGTGCACGTCCATTCGCGTCAACTGGTTCAAACACGCGCATGGGCAAACCCTCCCCCTTTTTTTCTGCCTGTGCTTCGAATTGGTCAAAGTTGCGGGTACCGCTCAACATGTGCGTGTGTGTGTGTGTGCTAGGCAGAAAGCAGGTGGATGCGCTGCGACGTGGTTCCAACGAAGGGCACGGCCGCAGCCAACTTGGCTGGGCGTCGGAATGCCGTGTTTTGCAAACCAGGAACTTGCGACTTGCGTGTACAGGGGGAGACTCTGCAGGTGTAGAGACTTTTGGGTCGAGCTAAACTTTCCGATAGTCTAGGAAAGTCGAATCAGCGGAGAGGGGGGGGAGCTATATGTCTGATCTACTGTTTTTTTTTCTGGCTCAGATCCACCCGCGTGCGCTGCTTTCCGTAGACTACGCTTTTAGGGTATATGGTAGAGCGTACGTTTTGGGGAAGGGGGAGAAGTTTGATTGGACCCGGCGATTTGGCCATGGTAAGCAAGTTCCAAAGTTCACAGATGCCTTGTGTACTTATTTTGGAATGCTTCCTTCACAAAGTTACCATGTGCAAGTTTTCTCGCGGCATGGTTGTTCGATTTGAGTTCTGTGACTGGAGACAGTGCGGGAGGTAGGGCTTACATGAATCCCTGTGCTTAGTCGTACTGATGAGCAGCGAGCGAACAAAAGGAGATGTAGCTCGGTTCTGAAAAAAAGGAAAAGTAGAGGAAAAGGAATCAAGGCAGAGGTCGAGTTGATGATGGGAAACAAATGCTCCGTGTGTCGTCTAGGCTGCGAGAGTGTGCCTGTTCGGGTGATCGGCATTGCATCTCAAGCTCGTGGCTAGCGAGCGACCTTGTCCCCGCGCGCCCCAGCGCCAGCCACTACCGTCAGTTGGAGGCGCATATCTCTGCCATGGCCGCAGCAACATCATCCCAGTCGTCTGGTGGGGGGCCGTGATAGACTACTGCGCTGCTGCGGCTGCGGCCTAAGCGTTTGCTGTAGCTGCCTACCACTTGCTGACCATGTCCCCTTCTTAAAATGCCAATCTCCTTTCTTATGTCATACGTAGCACAGGCAGTCTCTACTAATTTGGCTCAACAGCACCTCTCTTTGTGTGTATTAACTGAGCGCCCATCATATGCCATAGCTTCCTCGACATTTACAGCTCCGGGAAGCCACCATGGAGGTACAGACAATTAATCAAAGCTACCGTTCCAAAGAAAGGACCCCCCTCGATTGACGATTGGCATAGAACACTACCATATCAGCACCATGTGGCGATTTTCGATTCCACGCAGCAATTCCACGGTCGACACAATGCCCAGCAGCAGCAGCAGCCGCCGCCTCTTCAGATGAGACGGCGCCGAGCAACAAACCACTACTCTCGACACTGCCACCCCCGCCCCCATACATAAGCCACGACCGGTACCAAGATGAAGTGCCAATGGGCGCGCACTCAGTCGTGCCGCCAGGTTGTCGTCATGAGGGCCACGAATACCGGCAGCTGGTGATGGTGGACGAGGTGATAACGCATCCCTATAACGATGTATCACGACCAGGCAGCCCCGATGACGTACCGCTTGGGCACCTCGTGGCAGCGCAAACGTACGTCGAGGACGGCGACGCGTCGTGTACAGGCGAAGCACCACCCTCGTATGCGGTTGCCGTACGACAGAGCTACCGCGACACGCTGATCCAGCACATTCCGCCGGGCCAAGAGGGGGAGTACGGCGAGGTGGATGCCGAAAGCGAGGTGGGCGTGGACTTGGAGAGACCGGACGACGTGCGGTATTCGGTGGAGAGGATTGCGGCCATGTTTGTGGTTGCGTTTGTGCTGCTGGTGGTGTCGGGCGTGCTGGGGTGGATGGTGCTGATTGGGGCGCTGGAGTGATGGTGTAGGTGTAGGACAGGGGGCAGGGCACTGGTGGGTTTAGAGAAGAAAGGAAATATTAGAGGATACGGGATTGGGGATGGGCATGGACAGGAACAGGAACAGGAACAACCATGGCATGGGCGCGGCGTTTTTGGAGGGGGCGAGTGTGGGTGGGTTTTGTTGGCGTTTTACGGGGCTTTTGGATACCACGAATTTTGTTTGTTTAGCATTTCAGGGATAGGTCGGCATAGCGACATACTAGCCATGGTGGCAATGGGACAGTTTTCAGTGGATGGCTTGTGTGCAGTGCGAGTCCAAGTACGTGGTGTACAGCCATGGCGGCGGGTGTTGGGGGCGTGGGCCGGGAGGGCGTGGGCGGACCCTGGGGGCGTTTGGTGGGTCTTGTGGCATGGATGGCATGGCATGGCATAGCGTGGCATGGGCAGAGGACAGAGGACAGACAAGAGGCCAAGTGCGGGCATGCAGAATGGGCATTCTGCGACGGGGTATGCGTCACGTGTGGGCTGGGACGGCGGCTGGAAGGGGCTGATTCAGCGCAGGCGATTCCGGTCTGGTCGCCAGTCGTGTACGCTACTAAGCACCTATTGCCCTCAGCACAGGATGCTGACGGCGGAAGATGCCCCGGCCCTTGTGCTGGGCGACCCCGCGGCGGGTGTATGTGTGTGCGTGCCAGGACTGCTGCGGTCGAGGACAGCGGAGCGCGATGCTCTGCATGTCCATTCGCATTTGCATTTGCATTTGCAGTTGGATCCATCCGTCCGTCCAGTGCATTCGCATGTGCGTCTGCAAGGCCACCGCGAGGCTGCCGCGCCGTCAGCCTTGAGGCAGACTGCGCCGCAGCCCAGTTGGCGGGGCTTCCTTCACACAGCCTTGAGCGGTTTGGGACAGTGCCCAGCTCGCCGTCAGCCGCAGCAGCAGCAGCGCTCGCTGATATCCTTGACCGCACCCCACCCGCACCTCGCAGCCTTCGCTCGCTCGCAGTCTGATGAATTCCATGAACACCCGTTTCAAGAACCTCGTGAGTTCGAAACGAAAGAGCTCCTCTCACAACTCGTCGTCGCCCACTCCCTCAGCTGCTGCTGCCACCCCCACCGGCCAGCAACGTCCAACCTCGCTGTCTCCTCAGGCCTCCAATTCCAGCAGCTCCTCGCTCCCCATGAATCCCCAGAATCCCCTGGGCCGCCCGCCCTCATACACGTATGCTCCTCCAGGCGGCCTCGGTGCGCCTCCCTCTGCCCACGGCCGCCCTGCGAGTCCCCTCCCGCCCATCAACACGTCTGCGCCTGGCTATCCTCCCCAACAGCCGCCCTACCCTCCCCAGTCTGGCCCGCCTGGATACCCTCCTCAAGGGCCTCCGGGCCCTGGCTATGGCCACGGCTATGGGGCTCCTCCCCCGCCTGGTGCGCCTACGCCCCATGGCCCGCCCGCCGTGTACAACAGGCCCAACGCCATGGCAGAGGTCGCGGGCGAGGGTCGCTCAAAGGCGCAGCTGATTGTCGGCATTGATTTTGTGAGTAAACGGCCCTTGGGCATCAACGCGCGCAGAAGCTGACCGCAACACTCGCACCCAGGGCACCACCTTCTCCGGTGTCGCATTCGCCTTTGCGACAAACACTGAGGCCAAGGAAGACATCATTACCGAGTGGCCTGGCGCGGGCAACCAGACCAAACAAAAGATTCCTACGGTGCTCTACTACGACCAGTACCAAAAGGTTGTTGGCTGGGGTCCTGACATTGCCGATGCTTTGGCCCCCACGGGCTACCCCAAGCCTGGCGTGCAAAAGGTCGAGTGGTTCAAGCTGCAGCTGATGCTGTCCGGAAACACATACATTGACCCCATCAACCTGCCCCCGCTACCCCCGGGCAAGTCTGAGATCGATGTCGCTGCCGACTACCTCTTCCACCTCCGACAGGCGATGCGGAACCAGCTGCAGAAGACGCTGGGCGAGGTATTCAACAGAGAAGAGCGCAACATCAGGTACTATCTGACAGTTCCTGCCATCTGGAACGATGCTGGAAAGGCTGCTACGCGCGCGGCTGCCATTCAGGCGGGCTTCCTTCGCGACGAAAACGACAACAGGCTGACACTGATTACTGAACCCGAGGCTGCTGCCATGTTCTGCTCCAAGACTGGTCTGCTCAACCTCAAGATACACGACGCCGTGCTCATTGTCGATTGTGGTGGCGGTACCGTCGATTTGATCGCCTACGAGGTTGAAGAGGAGCAACCCTTCTCCGTCGCCGAGTGCACAGCAGGCTCTGGTGACTCGTGCGGTTCCACGGCGCTCAACCGCAACTTTAGCAACATTCTCCGTGCCAAAATCAGGAAAATGAAGCTCCCGGATGGCTCAAAGACTGCCGGCAAGGTCTACGCCAAGTGCATCATGGACTTTGAGAACAGGATAAAGGCCGACTTCCGTAACAATGGACAGAAATGGGCCGTTGACGTTGGCATCGAGGCCGAGTTCCCTGAAGCGGGCATCGAAGAAGGATACATGACTTTTACCAACGAGGAGATTCTGCAGTGCTTTGAGCCTGTGGTGAACCGAATTCTTGAGCTTGTCAGGAACCAAATCATTGCTATTCAGGCGCAGAACAGGTCATTACAGGTAAAATAACACTCGACTTACAAGGCCACATCTGTCCAATGCTAACTGATGCAGAATGTCCTGGTCGTCGGTGGGTTTGGTGCCTCGGAGTACCTCTTCCAACAAATCAAGCTCCACGTCCCTCCCCAATTCCAGTCCAAGGTTGTTCGACCCATGGACTCGGTCGCCGCCATTGTCAAGGGAGCCGTTACCGCCGGTATCACCGAACGCATCGTTACACACCGTGTTGCACGTAGGCATTACCTTATGGCCACCCTTCAGCCCTTCAAGGAGGGTCACCACCCAGAACAATACCGCGTCCCTTCGCTCGACGGCAAAGATCGTTGCAAGTACACACGTCAGATATTTGTGCAAAAGGGTCAAAGAGTCAAGATCGGCGAGCCCGTCAAGGTCTCGTTCTTCAGGCAGGTGGCGCCAGGTGCAACCCTCATGTACGAGGATATTCTGTACGCATGTGACGATGATGTCTGCCCAGAGTACACCAAGGATCCTCGTAAGTCTTGCCCAATCTCAATCATACAGTTGATTGGTTTCTAACATGAGAAAAAACAGGCATCAAGGAAGTCGTCACACTGACATCGGATCTGTCACGGAAAAACCTCGAAAAGGACTTTGAACGCATGGATACCCCCCAAGGCACTTTTTACCGCGTATACTTTGATATTTACCTCACTCTGGACGGCTCAGAATTCAACGCCGAGCTCGTCTGCCAGGGCGAGGTCATGGGTAGATGCACAGCGCGCTTTAGGTAAAAAAAAAATGATTTATTTGCGCCCCCCCTTCTAGGGAGAAAAGATCAAAACGCGCGCCAAAAGTTGTTTTGGGCTATATATTTACACATATACTACTCATACACACACATACATGTATACTTTTCGGCCATCTTTTGTTCTCTTCTCTCCTTTTTTTTGGTTGTTTTCGGAATTCGAGAGCGAGAGAAAGAAACGGGTTAGACGTGGTGACGAATTAGCGGCGGAATTGTTCGTTTTTTTTTTCCTGTGAGTGTCTATTGGGTTTATTTGACGCAACAATGTTCTTTGTTTTGTTGGATTCTCTCGAATTGCATACCCCCCACCCTATCACCATCTCCAAAAGGCCGAATAATGAAAATGACATTCTTTTTTGTTCGGTTGGCAGTGCCTACATCGGTGAGACGCGAAAATGGTGTGTTCTGGCTTATTGATTGTTCAAAACATGCCAGAAAAACGATATTTTTCTCCATCTCTCTGTAATCAGAAAAACGCCCCCCGCCAATGACGATCGTTATTCAAATACGACGTTATATATTTTTTTTGTTCTCAAGCAGGCAAATTATCAGCCTTACTCAACCTCCTCACCCCCTCGGCCTTTCTATCCTCTGCCAAAATGGACGCAAACTTACTCGCCTTGCGAATCTGCGGTCCCTTCCAGTAGAAGACGTAAATGGGCACGACAATCAAGCACGACAGGCACGCCAGTAGCGTAGTCGCATACTGCGATTTCTGCGGCGACGAATCCGCCAGGTTATGATACAGCGGTGTTGCATACATTGCCGAGATACCAGCGAGGAAGTCGCGCGCAAATGCGTTGCCGCCAGTAGCAGAGGCAGAATAAGGGCCGTAAGCGGCAATCATGTAGTCGACCGAGGAGTAGTAGATTGCAAAGTTTGCGAGGCCGACGAGGAAGGAGAAGATCATTGGGGCGATCCAGTGGGTTTGGGGCGGGCCCATGCCTTTTGATTTCGTTTGTTAGCCTTTTCTACTTCTTCTTTTCCATTTTCAAACGTTACGTTCAGAAAAAGGGGGTTTAATGGTATGGAAAATCTTACAAGTCCAGGCGAAGCCAAAGAGGCCGATGGGTTCGAAGAGGGCGAGTAGCAGCAGTGGCTTGAGACGGCGCTCGGGAGTCATCCAGTCCGGGCCGTTTTTCTTGCGGAGATGGTCGTCGCGCCAGAACCAGGGCCAGTAGAGGAAGTAGGTGAAGAAGTAGGAGGCGTTGATGGGGATGAATGCCCAGGCTACCTGGAGGGTGCCGAAGCCAAAGTTGTTGGGGAAGGTGACGTTGAAGGCTTCGAGGAAGGTGAAGATGAGGGCGTCGGAGAAGCCGGAGAGGAGGGAAAGAAGGAGCACGATGGGTTCTCTGATGAACATTTCAAAAGGTCGGAGCCAGATTTTGCCGGCTTCTTTGAGAGAGATGCGGGGCTTCTTGAGCTCGTTGGGGCCGTAGATGTTGGCGTCTTCGCCTGTTTCGCGGCGGCGCTTTGCTTCGCGGTCGATGAGGATCGTGGCTCGGCTTTCGGGCATGAAGAAGTGGACTGCCTGCACTGCAACGCCGAAGATGAGTTGGATCCAAAAGTTCCATTGCCATGTAAGGTCTGCAACCCAGCATCAGCAACATCTTTTGTGATATCTCTTCCAATGTACTTACAGCGCTCAATTGGGCCGCCAATGACGCCTCCAATGCTAGTTCCGATAGTCGACGACAGCACAATGAAGCACAACGGCCAGTGCTGGTTTTCTGGTTCATACATGTCCGCGATAAGACCAAGTGTGACACTGCCTCCAGCAGTAGAGAGACCGCCCTAATAAATATCAGTATCGGGTAAGAGGAGGGAGGGGGGGGGGGGGGGTTTTTGGACCGAAAGACTCACCAAAGCTCTACAAACGATAATGGTAGCAAAATTCGGTGCCACTGAGCATGGAATCTCCCAAATATTGATGAGAAGCATGCTCAGCTGCAGAATCGGCCATCGTCCAAACTCCTCGCTCCACGGTGCCCACAGCTCGCATCCAAACGAGTAGAAGACGAGATAAATCATCTGTCCGACTCGAGCGGCCTGCGTGCTAATTCCAAAGTGCTCCGCAACGGGGTTGACGGCACTGGGATACACTGACGTGTTGAAGTTCATGGAGATTTGGATTCCAGCAATGGAAGCCAGGTACATTGCCTTTTTCCACTTTGGCCACGAGTATGCGAGCTTATCCCAGCACTCCCATTCTCGCAGCTCGCGCTTTCCATCTGGCCTGGGAGCCATGGATGGGTGTCGTCTTCCCTGGGGGTCAACGGGTACATTGTCGCTCTGCGACTTTTCTCCGTCACTCATATCAGTCGACATTCTTGGACGGTGTTGCTTGGCGTCTTTGTCGGAAAATGGCTGCGCACCCGCTGGCGTGGGCGAAGGGTGCCGAGACTCGATTGCCATGGTCGCGAGGCTGGCTGGAAGGGAAAAGCTGGAGAAGTGACACTGGGTGTGGGTTGAGATTTGAAGGCCCTCTTGAACCCAACAAAAGTCCACATTTGGCCTCCACTGTCGATATGACGTCTGGTCTCCATACTCGTTACAGAGAAGTACTCCTCCATTGCCAGAGCGTATGTCAGCGTGGGTCTGTCCACGATAGGATGTCGAGCGCAGAACATCGGCCTAAAAATTGACGTTGGGATCGGGGGCGTGGATGCCATCGACGACAACATGGGACGAGTATGTATAGCAGTGGACCCTAGCCTGGCCTTGTATCGGAGCTGTTTGGCGACAGACCCCTGTGGGCCCAACTATCTGACGACAAGCTTCGCCCGCGCAGCGAAAAATTAGTGGTAGTGTTCTCGCTCCACTTGCTACCGGCATGCACGCACGCAGCCGACGACGAAACAACGACAGATCTGCATGCGGCTCAAGATAAAGATGGGCCGAGTGGGTCTGGAGCTCAAGATTTCGCAAAGTCCTCAAGCAACTAGTGAACTGGCTCGGCAAACCTTGGGGTACTTGAGTGCATCGCGATCTTGAATGCAGTAGATAATTTACTGATCCAAAACTGCCGGAAACCCGAATAGTTGAAGAATATCCCGGCAGTACAGTGTGTTTTTAATCAATCATCCTGAGTCGCCTAATGTGCATGGCATTCTGATAGGGTTCTGGGTGTCCGCGATCGTCCAACTAGGGTGTAGTGGTGGGAGGCTCTGCGGGTGAAAACTCTTAGTGCAGCGGCATGACATCACTATGCATCCAGGTCCCACCAAGCGTTGCGGCACGACAACAACCACCACACGGGGCCAGACTTCATCTGTGCTCTTTGTAGTAGACTACACGATATCATTTCACGTGCGATACAGCAAGGTTCTTGAGAGGTGTCATTGGACGTGTAGTCCAGTTGGAGTGTACTGATTGAGCTAAAGTCCAGAACCTTGTCTTATGCATGTACAACGTCTACTATATCGTCATTTTCTAGTTCGTGGACATGGACCTGGATATTGGAGTCAGATAGCACTTATCAGTCACAACATCACATTTCATTGGGGAGAGTTTAGTTGTTAGAAGTGTGCCTGTGACCTATTACACATTGTATGAACATGATTGAATTTATCTTTCACATCGCTATTGCAGACGAGCAACACTGTGCATGCAGGCTTGAGATAAATAAGAGTTTCCCGAGTAAACAACAAATTTCACCAGAGTGATAGTGAAACATACAAAAGACGTACTAGAACCGACATAATACACTCAGTGCAGCTAGAAGCCATCATGATGGAACGTTGTGATCATGACGAGGTGTCACTGAGATTGCACCAGGCATTGACAGGAGCCGGCTTTACCAACCCTCCAGCTAACCCCCCAGATGAGATGGAGATTGAATATGATCCTCTATTGAATACACTGGAAGAACTCACTCTTGCATCTCCCGAAGAAATGCAAGCATGTGAAGACTCAATCATGGCAGACATGGACCAATGGGTCCCAATCGACGAAGCACAGGTAGGCAATGAAGACAAAGACCTCGAAGACGCTGACGATATACTAGCGGAGCAATACGAGCAGCTCCGAGTCAAATACCTAGATGCCAACAGCCAGCCCACCGATTACACCCCCTGTGCATGCATCGAGTGCATCAAACTATACGAATGGGAAGACCCAGCAGGCCCCACCGGATCCTCTGCACCAATCCTCTACAAACCCACCCCCAGCACTTTTCAACCCAGCACCTCAGCCACCCACGAAACTCAGACAAACCTACCAAACGAAGCCCCTCCCACGCGCCCGCTCCCCCTTAGCCGCCAAACAAACCCCCCAACCCCCACAAAAAGACGGCCAATCAACCCCTTCTTCCCCTCTTCAATCTACAAAACCTCTCTCCTCCACACCCCCACCCCATCCGCCAACACGCCCCTCTTCCACACCCAAGAATACATCCTCTCCCTCCGCCTCCTCAAGCTCCGCCGCCGCTGGTCGCACCTCGCGCTCTCCGACTTCACCACCGAACTCGGCACCCTGCGCCGCTCCCTCTCCAACCCCGGCCTCGCGCTCGCCCCCTGGCCCCCGCTCGCCGCCTGGCTCGCACAGTACTACGCCGCGATGCAAGGCGTGCCGCGCAATCGCCGGTTCAGGGTCAAGATGGGGCTGCTGAAGGGGCTGGAGGAGGTGGCGAGGGCGAGGGCAAGGGAGAGCAAGAGCTTGGTCGACGAGGCGGTGCGGGCGACCGGCGAGAGCCTGCCGAGTGGGGTTTGGGGCCTGCTGAGGAGGGGCGTCGACGACGAGTGCGAGGCTAGAGGCTGTTTGGGGCTCGCCAGGTTGCCAGAGTTTACGGATAGGGTTGTTGGGGGGATGTCGGGCGGTTGGTCTTGGGTGGATTGAGTGAGGTTAGTGGGAGGGGGGGAATTAGTTGGAAGTGATTTTGGCTGGGGGACTATAAAAGGCTATGTTTGGTTTTGATTTATGTGCGTGTGTGTCTTTTTTGATCTACTTTGAATCAACGTTTGAGGATGTAGAAATCAATAGTTTAAGCATAACGTTCTTCTTCTTCTTCTTCTTCTTCTCCTTGTTCCGATTTCTGTGCGTTTGTGTTATGACGTTCTATTTACCCCGCTAATCGGCGTTGTAAACAAGATCGACGGGTTAGTATTTGTTGAGATGAAACTAAATTCCCGTGACCCTGCGTCCGACTCTTTTTCCCCGTCCAAAAAAGGTCCCAAACGAAAACCGCATGTTGGGCATTTGTTCCTGCTTTAGTATTTTCTCTTCAAGCACCTCGCATGAAGAAGGAAAATCAGATGATTCTCTAGTTCTGTTTGACAATGACACGTGAATGCGCATTATACTAATGGCTACATCGTCTATTTAGTTTGTAAAGCATACCCCTCTAGTATCTCTGCTTGTTGCTTTTTACGCACCGTGAATTAAAGTTTCCAATATATGTGTACAAGCTTTGAGCGTTCTGGTGTTTTTTGCTTTTATTCAGGCGAGCAAGGGGGGTTTACTCGCGTGCGGGTGGTTGCTACGGGAAGAAGAGGTTCTGCTAGCACTAGTTTAAAGTGTGGCTGTTGCAAGGATAATGGTACAAAAAAACAGCACTACCGACATTGCTGAGAATTAGCAAGGGTCCGGAATATGGTTGTTGAGGCTGAGGTTTATTGATGGCGCTGGTAAATTACAGAGAGACCCTTCAAATTTGACACGTGAATGTGTACTCACCACAGCATCAGTTTTGTCAATTAACATACATAGTAATACCCAGCCTTACCTTGGTGCACTTTCCCATACCCACCACGAAGGAAAAGAACCTCTAGAAAAGCAAACAGGCCGTTGAAAGTCGAAAAGCATGGTCCAGTGGCTTCTTCTTTTCTTCTTCTCTCGGCCTCTTCACCCCCACCACTCACAGTGGAGTTCACTTTCCCACGCTAACAGCGTCTATTCTCGTGCCATCCATCTGCAGTTGGCGCACGTTGAGAAAAAAAAAAGACATGTCTATCCTAGTTCTATTGAGCCTTTCTCTAGCCTCAATCGCTCTGACAAACATGTCGACTCATATCCCCGCCAACCCTTCACAGCGATTACTAAAATGCGGAAGAAGAAAAAGGGGGAGTAAAATGATTCTAGCTTGGCGAATCATGGATATGCCGTAGGACAATGTCGCCTTTAGCTACGGGCGAACACGATGTCTCGCTTAAGAAGCTTTGTTCACAGAGTCAAACACTGGTGTTCCTGCCGTGCCTCAAGTTCCCTTGTTTCCTATGCTGTTTCTTATTTTTTTTTTCCAAAAGAAAGTTTCTGGCAGAAGTGAAAGTACGTGCACTCAGAGAGCGTGTTTCAGATATCAAAAGAGGAAGAGGAAAGACAAAGGGTGGCTACACAGATGCTGATGATGAGCAGAGCTGATCCGTGCGTGTAGAATAGGTTAGTATAGCAACAATCGCTACGCGTGTGTGTATGTGAGTTGCGAGACCGGACTTGCGCGATGAGGCTGAACGCCACACGGCGCGTGCGTGTTTGTGTCCGAGTCAATCGACTGCCGGTATGAGATCAAGGCTTGTTACCCGAAAGACCATGGCTGGTCCACGCACTTAGCGTAGCGTAGGCTTCGCTTAGAGAGAGAAGGGGAAAAAAATTTACGGACAATCCGTTGGTAGCGTGCGTCTATGTTGTTTAGTGGCAGCCACACATTTCTTGTAACAAGATGGATGAATCAGGCAGGAAAGGCGAGAGTGAGAGAGCTGCACGAATGACTTTCCGAGCTGAGATTTCGCATTCGCGACTGCACCGAAATGCCACGCAACACCGTAAGCAATGATACTAGGTTCTGTAAGCCCCTCTCATCTTAGCTAAATTCTGACTATGCACCATCGGTGATTTGGAACAAGCACTATGACAATCGCAACACAGGATGATGTGAGATGTTTTTTTGCCATTGGGACTTCTATTTGACGCCCTGCTCTGTTGAGTCTTGTGAACAAAGGAAATGAAAAAAAGGGTATATCAGTGTGGTGAGTAATGAATCTGCTATCCAAAAGGTCCAATCCCAAACGCCTTATAATGCAATCTTTGTCACACTATGCAACGTCTGCGTGCTGTGCGAAATGCAAAAATGGACAAATGCTGAGACGAGCGTATACGACGGTGTACAAGGTAGGTGGTTATGGCTCATCGACGAAAAACCTTCATGAAGCTGTGACGCTTGCTGATAGTTGGGGTCATCGGCCTGTCAACTGGGATGGGTGGTGGGGGCGGCAGGTTCGTGTGCATGGTTGTGCTTTTGGCGAAAACAGAAAGAATTGGCTCTGACTTTTTGGTGCTCATCTTGCTTTTGGTGCTCATCTTGCTTATGGGTCTCTGGGCGGCAGTCGAGTCATTGACGGCTACCGCAGAATCGAGTGGACCATCTTGTGGAACATCCGCAGCGGCGACTGGTTTTGGCACTGGGTCTGCCTTGGATAAGCCGCGGGAAAGCTGCATGCTACTCTTGGCCTTGGTCATGGCGGATTTGCGGGAGCTCTTGGTCGTGGCACGCTTGACAATGCTACCGCCATTCTCTTCGGCGTGCTGGCGCTCTAGCCGCTCGATCTCGCCCAAGACGGTCATGCCATTGATAGCCAGGCTGTCTTCGGGAATAGGCACAAATTTGATAATGCCTCGGTCTGATGGAACGCCAATCGACTCAGCCATGAATGTCTGCATCAAAGCGGCATTGCGCTTGTTGGTGGTGGGCTGCATTTGGACGGGCAAGGCATTGATGGTGAGGACGTAAGTGGGCTCAAAGGACCCTCCGAGGAGCAAGCATGCTGAATGGTTGACGGTGATCATAATCGATGTCTCGGGCCTTTGGTAGCGCGTGGAGAGATGGTGCGAGAGGTCAGTGACAAGTGTGTATTCATCTTTGATCTACACAGGGTTGGTAGTTAGTGCATGTACAAACCGAGCGGAAGTGGAGAAATGGAGCACATACAATCACATTTGTCCGCAACTCTGCTACAATAGGGGCATCCTTGGTGACGCGATCGCGAGCAGACGATATGTCTGAGCCTCTGTCGACGAATTGACTCTCGTAGAACTGGGCACGGGCACGTGAGGTCATGGGTCGCAGGGAGCCGGGAGCATGAGACGCCGTCTCTCGTGGATATTGATGCGAATTGTCTGGAACATCGATGACGGAATGGGGCGAGGAGGCGAAGGAGAAGTTTGAAGCTGAGGGTGACTGGGGGCCTGCTGCAGCGTGGTTGTCTGGAGACAGAAGGGCGGCGCCAGCCTGTTTGGGAAACGCAGTGGCGGACTGGGTGGAAGCGGATGAGGGCCGCGACATCTTGGTCTGGCTGGAAGTGGAATTATTGGCTGAGTGGGGCATGGCAAAAAGGGCGAAGATGGGCAGGTGCAGTGTTTGCCTGGGGAGCCGCGAGTGGACAGCCAAGAATCAAGATAGGCGGGATTGGTGCAGAGGTAGATAAAGGCTGCAAGTGGGCGGGGCGGCCAGCAAACGCTCGACTCTTGATGTTTCTGTGCGATAGAGAAGATAGCGGTCCAGGAGTCGGAGCGGTGATTGACGACAGTGACGGGAGTGGCCGCGGTGGTTGTGGTGCCCGTAATGCCAGTCGTGTCAGTGGTGACAGTGATGGGGCGGTCCCTGCAGTGCCTGTGGGTGAGGGTGAAGGTGAGGGCGAGGGCGGGCGCAGCGGGCAAGTGAGGGGGAGGGAGAAGAAAAAAAGATAGTAGGGTTGCCGGGGCGGCAGTGGCAGCGGCAGCGTGAGAAGAGCAGACTTATGGCGAGCCAGTGTATGATATACTGCGGCCTACTTGGGTGGGCGTCTGGGTTGACGGGCTCGCCGCATGCCACACTATCGGGTACATGGACAGGGGTGTCTGGAGCAGCACCAGCGCGCGGGCCTGGCGCCGGCAAGCTTTGGGGGGGGTGAGCATGAGATGAGCATTAGCAAGAGGGAGCTAGTGTGTAGGTGGTAGAGTGTGTAAGAGCAGGCCGTCTGATCTGAGCTGGGACTGGGCTGCATTCTGCCTCGCCATCACCCATGGAGCCTCTGGCTCTGGGCGCGCACACAAAGGGCCGCAGGCCCTCAGCAAGCCACAGTGTCGCTAGGTATGCCAATGTGCCTGACATGCCCTCTGCCCTCACCGCGCTTTGCCCTCACCGCGCCCACGCCACCATCGCCTACGGCTGAGAGGCCAGTGTGCACACATGCCCGCCCGTACTTGGCTTGTTGTTGTTGTTGTTGTTGTTGTTGTTGTTGTCGTCGTCGTCGTCTTGCCTGCACGACCACGCACCACCAGTCGGGCGACGAAGAAGGCTGGGCGGGCGGGTGCTAGTTCAACGCGCGATACAATAAAGTAAAGAGTGGCTACTTGGCTGCATTGGGGGCCGGTTCTGCTACCCCACCTCGCCCGGCCCGCCGTCGTCGTGACCACGTCGCCGGCATGTCGAGAATCTCAAGAGGGCCAGACGTCGAGGCGTCCACACTCCAATGTCCAGATGTTGCCCCTCGGCAGCCACCAGGCCACGACGTCGACTACCCTGACCCACAAGAGCCCGCCGTATGCCGCATTCAGCCTGCTGCTCGTCCGCATCCAGCTCCATGTCCGCCACTCGCTCGCCATGCGTTCCATGAATAGCTACATAGGCATCCCACGCCCAATCCTACACACAACCACACCGACATCCCACCGCAGATAGCCTGCCGCTGCATCCACCCGCTGCCCGCCAAAGTGACATGCTCCAAACAACCAGACAAGCCAGCGCTAAGCCACCAAGAGCGTACAAGCAATCAATCAATCAGGTTGCCCCTTTGCCTGCACATCGGCTCCTGCGCTTCTTCCTCTTCCTCTTCTTCTGCTGCTGCTACACGCCCGTCGGTTACACGCCCATCTGTGTGCGATGTGTCAGGCGCCCTGCACCCCAGGACCCTTTGCATCGTCGGCTGCCAGTGCTGTGCAACTCTGCCCTCTGCAATGCAATCTCATGTACAGCCAACCCTGTGTCTACGCCTGCCTTTCTTTGTTTCTCTGAAGCCACGCCTCTGCACCCATTTTCCCCACCAAGGCACGCCGCTGCTCGCCTCGTCGCACGGTGCCATTGCCCATGGTGCCATGTTGAGCACTTGTACGGTAGCACTCGTGCAGCACTTCATCTAACTTTACCGGCTTTGCCAATACGAGTTGAACGCCGCGACCGTGCGGCCCGCTTGGTGGAATCGTGATTTGCGATCAAGCTTTCAAAAGCAGATTGGCCCTAGGGCAGGGGTTGGTGCTATATATTCTTGTACGCCTTACTGGATCCATCGACGCCAAAACGGTAGAAACTGCACGCACAAACTTGTGTACGTATCAAGTACAACACAACAGCTACTATACGCATGATTGCGGCAAAGTCGGCATCATCCGCGCAATACTTCACCCCTGCTGATGTCTTTACGCCCGGTAGCGCCATGCAAATGTATCGGCCTTATTGCAGGTCACAAGGAATATATCCGTCAAAGTACAGTAGTAGTCTCCCTAACATAATCAATGACGTCGCGGTACCAGTGTTGCGTAGTGTATGTAGTACGGATCATGTGCACGTGAGAGCGCGTGTCCATCGTCTTTGGCTTTGGCCGCATCATCAACACACGCGCCATCGCATTGCCCACCCCAATCGACCGCCCCCCCCTCCTCCCTGACCTGATTGAGGCCTCAGCAACACCCATCATGCCTCCAAAAGCTACTGGAGCTAATGCTGCCCGAAGAAAAGGGCCTGCCTTCAATCCCCCGCGTCCGGTCAACGCCGCTCCCCAAGCCTCCTCTTCCACCACTGCAAGACGCGCTCCTGCACCAGCGGCATCCCGCGCATCTGGCGCTGCAAACAAAAAGAATGCCTTTCAACCAGCAACTGACGTCATCGATCTGTCTGACGATGACGCGCCTGAAGAACTCATAGATCAAATTGATAGCGACGACTTCGATTCCATAATGGAAGACGTCGGACCTGCAACTGCACCAGCTCGCTCAAAGCCCCCGCCAGCCAACACGACCTTGTCCGACCCCGTCGTGCCTCGGCCGCTGCTCGCGCGTCTGCTGCTCGAAAACTTTGATGATCCCGATATGCAGATACAAACGGGCGCAATGAAGCTTGTGGGCAAGTACATCGACATCTTCGTCACAGAGGCCTTCTTGAGGAGCAAGGACGAAAGAAAGACGGCCGCCAAGAATGGCGGTCTTGCCGATGGCTTCTTACAAGTCGAGGACTTGGAGAAATTGGCGCCACAGCTTGTGCTCGACTTTTGAGCAGCCGCTTGGTTTGCTATAAAGACCTACGCGATTTGATGCCGGACTAAATGCACAAAACATACTTGAGTAGCCAAAACCAGCAGCCATGGCGAGTTTGTGATATTGTCCCTAAAAGTAGCCCAAGGCCCGCCCATATGGACATGTGCACTCTCGGAAGCCTTTCCCTCCTTCCACGACAACATTTGCTTGGATTCATTGGATAGAAGGAGCGCTCACGGCTCTGCAACTCATCTAAATATGGAGTCAAAATGGAGTCGTCGCGTCAGAGGTACTGCGCAATTCACCACCCGACAGCGGCTACGCCATCAGGCCAAGGCATGCATTCATAATAATAGTCACAGCCATGTGCAGTCATCTCCCTCTGTACAGTTGATGCAAGACTGAAACGATCAGCCAAGCGAATAAAAGATCCAACATTTTGACGTGTTTGAAACATCTGGCCGTACTTCCTCAATCCCAACCTCTTCTCCAACGCCATTGTCCACATGGCCAACAACAAGTGCTGTGGTGCAATCTCGCAAACAGAAGTTCCGACTGCCTAGCTTGGTCGGTTTAATGATTGCCGTTGCGACGCGCAGCCTGAAGCATAACGTGACAGGGCTCAAACACGGACGGAAACGTGGAGCGTGTCGCATCGTCCACACCCCGGCACCAACACTTCGAACAACAGCTTCACAACATGATTTACACCACACAATGGCTCGCCAAGTGCATACAACTCAATATTCGTAGCGCCTGGTTGCTCCAACTCCATGTACTTATTCCTCAGTGAGCAAGAACAATTAGAATCAGTCTTGTCGGCTCAAGCGCAGGCTATCCTTAATGATCCTTCTGTTAAGCCTCATTTTGCAGGGTTTGTACTGAATCGAGAGGCTGAAGCACTCTGCGCCTCCAACCTGTCGCAACCCCAACCCCATGTATCGGAAAACCCGTTAACCGCCGTGCCAACGCATGGCAAAACTTTCATGCCTTAAGACGGCCCTGGACCGTCACCTTAGGCTTCTCTTTTTCACTCCTGCATCCCACATTTTCTCCTTACTTTGTTGCGGGTTTCCTTTGCATCTTCTTTTCTTCTCCAAACCTCACGGTCTTTCACCCTTATCTCCTAATACACCTGTTGGCTAGTCCAACGGTTACTTTGACGAACTCCAGAGCGCTAGTCGCCTTTGCATTCTCTTGACGAGACTTTCAATACTACAAACACAATCGCCAATTTAATACCCGAGTCGCCTTTCGAAAGGGAAAAAAACCCCAACCACAGTTATTCAATATGTACTTTTCAACAACAGCTATCGTTTCGGCCATCTTTGGTCTCGCCGCCGCTCAAGGAGGGATGATGCTCAGAATGCACGTTGTCCAGGTCGGCGGACCCAATGGCTCTTTGGCCTTTTACCCAAACAATGTCGCGGCTCAGCCAGGCGACATGGTTCAATTCCAGTTCCACCCAAAGGTATGCCTAGTCGCCGTTTCTGCGCCTGGTTATATTCCTGAACTAATCGTTCTCATAGAACCATTCCGTCGTCCAATCCACCTTCGATAATCCTTGCATACCCATCCAAAACGTCATGCCTAACAAGACCGACGCTTTCTTCTCTGGTTTCATGCCTACCAATGCTTCCTTCGCTGCAACAAACCAGGTCCTGACTTACACTATTCGCGTTACCGACGCGAAGCCCATCTGGTTCTACTGTTCTCAGGCCAAGCATTGCCAGAGTGGTATGGTTGGAGCCATCAACGCGTAAGTCACTTGCCCTTCTGTAATCCAATATGTTTTGAGACAGAAACTGACTATAGCACACAGGCCCACAAGCGGTAACAAGACCATACAAGCATTCACTGCCCTTGCTGCCCAAGCCTCGGAGAACCTGTCTCCTGGCGAGCCTGCTGGATCCGGTGGCATGACTGGCACTACACCCACCTCACCATCTGCTGGAAACGGCGCCGACTCTGGCAATGGACAAGGAGGTGCTGCTGCTGGCGGAAACGGAACTGGTGCCGGTGCTGGTGCTGGTGCCGGTGCTGGTGCTAGTGCTAGTGCCGGAAGCGGAACCGGTGCCTCACCTCCCCAGACTACCACCAGCAACGCCTCTGGCTTTAGCGCACAATCCTTCATCAGTGTTGCTGTTGCTTTTGTTGCAGTTGCCTTTGCTTCATTGTAAACAGAGTAGAAGTCTTGCAGGCGGGTTTTAAGATAGTTGGCGGCACATATGATACCATTCTTCTGATAACTGAGCTGGCTTTGGTAAAAGGACTCAGATTTGGGGAGGCGTTTTTCTTTGTTCGATTGATCGAACGCATATAGCAATTAATATAAGACGAATGTACTATGTTTAGTACTCTATCAAACTTCATACCCAATGTTCCTGAATTCAAGCATTCTATGAGTGATAATTAACTGCGCTTTTTGCTGAGGGATTCACCCGGCCATGCTTACACGGCAAGCCGATGCACACCACACCCCCGCTCCGTCCAACCTTCATCCCTCCCACGCCCGATTGCCACGTGCGGCATCTCAGCGAACCACAGTAAAGTACGACACACCATGTAGCCACATACTTGGACATGTGTAGCGAACAGGCTTGCGACAACCCGTCATCAATAATGCAGCACGGGATGACTTGCGCGGCACCCATCATCCGCCATGACTTGGATCCCTCTTAAGTCTCCATCTCAATATCGATTACGTCCAAGTAATCATGGCATCTCAAAGCTTCTGGGGTCGCTTCAACCTGAGCAACGAAGATGGAAGGTCATGTATGAGAGCTGTACAAAATGCATATATAGGGTATGAGGTGAAAGAGTTTGAACAACAGGGATATTGCAGTTGCACGTTCTTGGTTGCGCCTTTGAGCGGTACTGAGCACAGCATAGTTATGGATAAGGACCTGGCAGAGGAATTTCAAGAGTGCAGCACAAGAAACGAACTCATCGTTCAACTCCGGCCTGCGTCTCACGCACTTGATCTCGACATTATGCACATCGCAACCAAAATCTATCCATCGCTGGCCCCAACCGTCGCGCTCCTGGACGTACCCCTACCTGTAAGCCTGAAGGCTTACGAGATGAACAGAATTCCCGGTACATCTCTCAGTCGCCTGATGCCGCGCGCACATACCTTGAATACAAAAGAGCAAGCACGACTGGAAACATTGGTCTTGAGCTTTGCCGAATTCATGGCACAAGGCTGGCAGTGCGCGTCGAAAGCGCCAGCATCACCAACACCCAGAACCACGCGAGCTGACTCGCCAATGGAAGATACATCAGATATACTCTCACAGTGTCGCGGCAAAGTCGGTTCAAGCATTATCTATCGACTCAGGAAACTTGCTGCAGAACTACCCGACACATGCTTGAGAAAAAGAACAGAGAAGACACTTTCAGCCATGCAAGAAATGACGGACTACCCTGTCATTCTAAATCACGGGGATATTATACCATCCAACATTATCATCGACGAGAGTCGGTGGGAGATGACTGGCTTGGTCGATTGGGCTGAAGCAGAGTTCTTGCCCTTTGGAACGTGTCTTTATGGGCTGGAGCATTTGCTAGGATATTACGAACAAAATTCTTCAAGCACAACATCTACATGGGTCTACTTTGGAGGAGCCGCAAAGCTTCGAGAGGCGTTCTGGGAGCACTTGTTCGCAGCTGCACCGGGTCTGAAGGCGCGCGAGGATGAAGTGAGGACGATGCGGGACATGGGCGTGTTGCTGTGGCATGGCATCGCGTGGGATGATGGAGCTATTAATCGCGTGGTTAGTGAACTTCGAGATCAGGAAGAATTGGTGAAGCTTCGTGCTTTTCTGGATGCGGATTGAGTGAAGAGCTTGTTTCGGCGTACGCCAGAGAAGTGGGGATGAAAGGATTATCCTAATCATTCTTTCTAATGTCTCTGTGTCTTTTATTACAGCGCGAGTTTAACTAAGAAGTTTCTTTCAAGTGTCTCTAATCTAGAGTGTCAGCCACATGTTTGTTTCCAAGATTGTTGTTCATATACGAGTTGCGCCTTCCCCTTACACTGGATGTCTTTTCCCATGCACCCCGCGCCTTCTAAACATACATAGGCAACATCACAACTCTGCTTTTTTTTTTCTAACAAATCACACCCTCCATTCTCGTCTCTATTCTCTCTACATTCTTGTCGGAGAGTTAGGTCTGCTCACAGTCAAAGAAACACTAGAACATAGCACGCGAAGGGATCGTATCCAACCGAGCCAGGTGTGGTGCTGATTACGACAACTTCAGAAACAGATTGACAGATAAGGTCTTGGTTCTGCCTCATATCGTTTGCGTGGTCTCGACGCACTTCGACACAACATGGTCTCCACTCGGCGGAGCACCGCAAATGCAAAACGTTTAATCGCTGGCACTAAGAAGCCCAAAGTCGCGAAACCAGCTAGCGACACTATCCATGTTAAAGAGCCTCGTAGAAAAAAGGCAAAGACCGCAGTAGAGATCCCGAAATCATCCAGTATTCCACTTTCAACGGTATTCTCCATCAGTGATCATGATATCGATCACCCTTCACCGATCACCCTTCACCCGTCGACAGCTACGACCACAAACACGGCCGAAACAAAGAATCTCTCACCCAACCCTCCTCATCAACCCCTCTCTTCTGCTTTGCGAAAACTAACCCCGAAGCCCTTTGCCAGCATGAGCGGTAGCTGCCACGACCCGATTGTTGTCAACGAGGGCTCGTCACCTCCCCGTCCAACAATATGTGAACCGAAACGGAAGAATCGAGATGAAAAAACATCGGAGTCCCACAGGTTCATAGGGAACAGGCGCAAGGATTTATACAGCCATGGCGCTCGGAGGTCGGGATTGACGAATGCGCCTTTTAACAAAAGCACGCGAAACAACCACCAAAGTCACGACATCTACCGGAGAATGAATACAAGGACGGTTTCTGCGCCACACTCCAACCTGAATGCTTTTCCAGTACATGGCCCATTTGACGTTCCTTTCCTGATGCAACATGCTCTTCCAACGCAGACATTCGCATATCAACAGATCCGACCGAGCTTTCCAGTATCCTACGCTCCGTACCATCAGTTTCCACCTCCAATGATCCCGAACCTCGTGATTACTCCTCAGAGCGAAGAAACCCTCCGCAGAAAAGTCGTCGAATATGTGCGAGACTTTCCCAAAACCAGTGTCCAGTCAAATGTCAATCCCCACCATCTAATCGAACACACGTTGCTCCTCACATCTCTCCTCCAGATATACCCGCATTCCAAAAACCAGCAAGGCTTGTGCGAAGACATACGTACAATGTTAGCACTACAAAGCCATAACATGACGGCATGGCTGGGCTCCGAGTCTCAGAACATGCCTAGGCAGAAGGAAAGCAGCAGTGGCAACAGCTATATCAACACACAGCCAAAACCCTTGCCGAGTGTCAGTTTGAACGAGGAGGATAGAGAAGTGAGACGGGCTTTTTCTGCAAGTGCAGGAATGTGGCAAGACGGCACTGAGAATGGCGTCGCTGACGTTTTTGGCACTCGATCCACCTCTTCCCCTGTTGCGAGTCCAAGGGCAAAACCCAACTAGGCCGCATGGGTGCCTGCCTAGTAGCATAGAGAAGCAGAGACGCATATTGCCAATATCGACTTTGCAGCGCTGATGAAGGGAGGGCAAAAGGGTGTGATGTGTCCGGCGTCTTCACTGAGAAAGTCGTATAGTAGTCGTGTTACCTACGTAGTACCGTTCCTGGCAGCACCTCCCACCTCTTTTTCTGGCGCATTCGAATATCGACCTTGATGATAACATAGACCTCCCACGATGGGACCATGCTGTTACTGCTCTTCATCTCTCCATGCTGTGTACATACTTGACGCGACCCTGACACGTGACATCGCGCTATCGAGTAGTAGTAGGAGCGGCGCGTTTCCGCACTTACAAGTTATCTTACAAATACATATATCTACTATGTAGTGTAAGCTGTTAGGTCGCTTCTTTCACGGCTCGATAAATCCCGAAGCCGCGATGCTCTCAATTCGTCCGGACCTGCATATATATCAGCTTAAGCTTCTCCTAGCATTCTTACCACATCTAACATGAAACCATTTCATCGCGCATCTTCCCTAATCACATCCCTACTTGGCATACAACGAACCTCTGCGCAACAGCCCTCTTCTTCCAGCAACGCCACGATCAATCCCCTCCGAGGCGTAGAGCAACTTCCAATATCATCCTACGCCGGCAACATGACGCGTATTGCACCCGTGATCTCCGTCTCCCACGGCGGAGGCCCCATGCCGCTTCTCGGCGATCCATCGCATGAAGCCATCACAAAGTCGCTCAAGACGCGGGTGCCCAAGATCCTCAAGCTGGGCACACCAGAGGCACCCAAAGCAATCGTACTAGTTACAGCCCATTGGTCTACAACAAAGGTTACCGTCTCCAGCGGCCCCAAACACGAGTTGCTGTACGACTACTACGGCTTCCCACCCGAATCCTACCAGGTCAAACACGATGCACCTGGTAGTCCAGAGGTGGCAGACCAAGTCGTCAAGGCACTCAGTGAAGCGGGTATCGAATGCGAAAAAGACCCCAAGCGACGTAAGTCCTTCTCACTCCTCCATCATTCTTGTTTGTTGAGTTAGGTTACGTCGGACTGATGACGAACCATACAGCATGGGACCACGGCGTCTTCGTCCCAATGAAACTCATCGACCCCCCGGCCTCAATCCCCATAGTCCAAATCTCAGTCCTCTCCTCCGAGTCAGCCGCACAATCCTACGCCATCGGCCGCGCGCTATCCACGCTCCGCAGCCAAAACATTGCCATTGTCGGTTCAGGCTTCCCCACGTTCCACAACTTGCGCTTCTTCCAGCAGATTAATAATCCGTCGCTCCAAGCGCAGATTGCAGAGTGGAGCAAGCATGTTACCGATGCTGCCATGACGGACGACGATGCGAAGAGAGAGGACAAGTTTCTGCATTGGAGAACGTGGCCGCATTCGTATATTGCGCATCCGAATACCGGGGCCGAGCACTTTTTGCCCCTGATTGTTTGTGCAGGCGCTGCGGGTGCAACGCCGGGGAAGAATTATGCGGATGCGCTGCGTGGAATGGACATGTATAATTATTACTGGGACGAGGAGTGATGATGTTTTTTCTCTCTCTCTCCCTCCCTCCTTCTCTTTTCGTTAAAAACGAACCCCCGAAAAAAAAACATGAGAGAGATAGAGAAAAGATGTATTCGACTAACTACATGTCAAAAAAAATCTTTAGTTTGCAAAACCCAACTTAAAAAAAAGAAAGGATTCCTTTGCAAATCATTCACTTGCACCTAGGAATTCTTTGCTTCCTCCCCCCCCCCCCCCATTCTTTTTTTTCCTTTTCAACTATATACAAACCCCTTGCCTTTTCACCTTACCCCCCCAACAGGTTTCATTCCATACCACGCAATAACGGCAATTCCCACAAACGCACTCACCACACTCATGACCAGCGCGGCAATACCGCCTCCGGTAAAGCCGTCGGGCAATCTCCCAGGACTCTTATTCTCTCCACTCAAATCGTCGAGATGCTTTGTATTTCCCGCGGCATTGCCCTGCGTGGGCACACTGGCCGCACGACACACATCCCAGTGGTCCTGGGGGATTTTGCCGTCGAGTTGGCGCTGGACGGACAAGGGGGCTTCGATGATGGTGGCGATGAGGCCCGAGGCGACGTGCCACTCGATGTGGCAGTGGAAGAGCCAGATGCCCGGGTTGTCGGAGCGGAAGCGCAGGACAAGGTGGCCGTTGGGGCGGACGAGGATGGTGTCGCGGCGCATTGGGGTGGGGTTTTGCGACGAGGGAGAAGGTGAAGAGGTGTTGTAGGAACCTGCGTCTGCGTCACTGCGGAGGAGGACTTGGAAGGTGTGGCCGTGGAGGTGGAAGGGATGCCTTTTTTGGCTTGTTAGATATCTTTCTTTTTTTTTTTTTGCTTTAGGGGAGGAAGGGAGTGACGACGTACTTTCCGGGGTCCAGGTTGTTGAGGATGATTTCTACAACTTGGTTTTGGGCGAGGATGAAGGCATTGGTGTTGCTGCCGTAGATGATAGGGTCGGTGGCGTTGGGACCTGTGGAGAGGACGGTGTAGAGGGTGGGTACTTTGGGGCCGACGTAGGTTATGTCGTTGAAGAAGGCACTTTGTATGTGTCAGATGTCTGATATCGAGAATACGGGGGGGGAAGATGACTTACTAGTTTGCTCCATCGTTCAAGTTGTCCATCTTCACGTCGAGAGTGATGGATTGATCGACACGATCGAATGCTCCTTCCTTATCCCACGGCACGAGTTTGAAATCATCAAACGGTTCAAAAGCATCCACGTCCTTCGCAGCTGGTAGTTCTTTTTTGTCATCGTATACTAGCCATCCCGTGACATTAGGATTCAGCCCTTCAGGCACCGTATCGAACATATCCTCGTCCATGCTGCCGACAAAGGCAAAATTGGAATTTGTATCGTTCTTGGCAGTGACGAGCACACTGTAGCGCTGAGCGGCAGTGAGGTAAATCATATCTGCTTCCATGGGCTCAGTGTACACACCATCGACTTCAACAACGCGCATCGTGTGCTCCTCGAACCAGACGTACTGGGCGGCAAAAGCGCCCATGTTGATCATGCGGAAGAGATATGTTTTGCCAGGCTCAATACTGACAGTCAGGTTCTGGGTGTCGTTGAGCAGGGCTGCCTGAGGCACAGGTTCTGCGCCTGAGGGATTGGCAATGCTAAGGAAGCTTGCGAGAAGTTTGTGCATTGAGTCGTGGTACCTGCAAGTATAATCGTACTTGGTCAGTCACTCTCTTTCGATGATCTCCATTTTAGGGGATTTTCTCACCAGTCAGATAATGTTACTACGACCTCCTGGTCGTAAAGATCCTTGTATGGACTCTCTGGATCATGCACAATGAGCGGTCCGCGGAGGCCGTCAGGATACTGAGCACGCTCATGGCTATGGTACCAATATGTTCCTGGTTGGTTAACCTATAAAGATCAGCTTTGGCTATTCTTCTTGGAAAACTCGATACTCACTGTGAAATTGTATGTAAAAGAGCTACCTGGAGGGATCCCACACTGGGTACCTCCAACCACGCCGTCCATATGCGTCGTGCCATTCATAAACAAACCGTGAAAATGCAAACTCGTCGACTCGTTTCCCAGCGAGTTCTTGACATTGACAATGACCTGGTCGCCTTTTGTTGCTACGATAGCTGGGATGGGCCATTGCCCGTTGATTCCAATGGTTGGGCGTCTATACTGTCCATCTGGATTCGCATATATCCATGCTACATCGAAGTCGTAGGTAACAGTCGCAGCCTGAGCAGTCGACCCCAGAAGTAGCAGTGAAACGAGGAAATTTGACAAGGAAATCGCCATGTTGGGCGGCGAGGTGAGAATTGAAGCGTCTAGTCAGCTACAAAAGCTGTACTGGATGGTCCTGCAAGCGGGAGTACACCACGACTTACTCAGCTCAAGGGGCCGATAATCAGACAAGACTAGGTTTGACTGTGTGAGCATGGGATCATCAGATAAATGGCACCAGACTGGTCCGATACCTGAAAATCAGATTATGCCTTGCCATCAGCTGCCGGCGACTAGCTGAAGCCACGGCACATTGTTATCAGATCATCTGCCAAAAGCTTGCAGCGTGAAAAGGCACTGGTTAAACAACACCGAGCGGGGCACATATGCTCTTCTGGCAAGCCTGGTGTATGTACGGGCCGCATATCCAATCATGTCTGGCTTGCGTCAAGCATCCCGTCTCGTGATTCGCTGCGGGGTGTCACCGATGCGCCTGTTATCGGACCATCTGATAATCTGGACCACTATCGGCCCATCCAGTTGGTTAAGAGGCGCCGAAGAACCAACAAGCCTGCCTTAGCCTGCGCTATTAAAGTCTTGAATTGATTTGGCGTGGCTGGGCATGAGAAACTTGCAGATCATTGTTGTGGCGATTTTTGGAGTGTGTAGGGGTTTTGTAGGGGTAGCTGTTGTGTGGCATGGTCGTGGTACTACTATGTAGACAAACGTGAAAACAATGATTGAACAGCACCACCAGTACTACCGAGGGCTTCTGAGAACAATGACACCAACAGAAAAAAAAAACTTTCACGACATTTCATCGGCCCGTCCTCTCACCTCGGCTCGCAAACTTAATCAAAAGCCAGGGCACAGGTATTCCGAAACTCGGCTTGACGCTAGCGTCATGGTACAGAGACGGGATGCACATGCACGAGGAAGCTGAGAGCAGGCGCCGCCCACCCCCATCTGATTAGATCCTGTCTTCTTAAACTCCTCGCATTTTATCTGATTCTCAGATCGAATGCCAATTGAGCGAGCTTGACAACTATCAAGATGCCAAACGTCTTTGCAGTACCAGGTGTGTTAGCAGACTATATAACAACTGCCCCTCCACGCGAACACTTAGCGCCTTTCGTACTAACTTTGTACTACTAGTCTTCTTCATTTGCTTCCGCGAATGTCTAGAAACCAGCATTATTGTTTCTGTGCTCCTTGCCTTCCTCAAGCAAACTCTAGGCCCCTCGCAAGATGCCGCCGTCTATAAGCGGCTCGTGCGCCAGGTCTGGTACGGCGTGGCAGCAGGCGTATTCATCTGTCTAATCATCTGCGCCGGCGTGATAGGAACCTTTTACACGGCAGGAAAGAATACTTTTGAGTCTGCTGAGAATATTTGGGAAGGCGTCTTTGGACTCGTGGCTAGCGTCATTATCACCCTCATGGGCGCAGCTTTGCTTCGCGTCAGCAAGCTCCAGGATAAATGGAGGGCCAAGATTTCCAAGGTGCTGGAACAGAAAGATCTTAATCTACCTGTCAAAGGTAAACTGAAGCGCTGGACTGAGAAGTATGCCATGTTCATCTTGCCGTTTGTAACGGTGCTTCGCGAGGGCATCGAAGCAGTGCTGTAAGTCGATGCGACCCAACTTTCATAAAATCTTCTCCGGCTAAACTAGAATCCAGGTTCATCGCTGGTGTAAGTCTCAGCGCTCCAGCGACAAGTTTTCCTCTTGCTGTCATTTGTGGCCTGGGTGCAGGCGCTCTGGTCGGCTATCTGATCTACAAAGGCGGCAACAAGACCTCGCTGCAGATCTTCCTTGTGGTGTCCACATGCTTTCTCTATCTCGTAGCTGCAGGTCTCTTCTCTAAGGGTGTCTGGAGTCTTGAGCAAAATGCATGGGTCAAGCTTGCTGGAGAGGGTGCTGCTGAAGCCGGTGCGGGTCCTGGCAGCTATGATATCAGGAAAAGCGTTTGGCACGTCAACGTAAGTTTTGACCTCGTCTATCTTCGGATTCCTAGGCTGACTTTTGCGCCATAGTGTTGTTCTCCGCTAGAAAACGGTAGTGGCGGGTAAGCATATGTCATTTCGAATACAAGATCCCCGCTAACGTCGCTTCACAGTTGGGGAATCTTCAATTCCCTGCTCGGCTGGCAGAACAGCGCGACCTACGGCTCTGTGATTTCATACAACGTATACTGGATCGTCGTCATCATCGGCTTCCTCTTCCTGGGCTGGAAAGAACGCAAAGCCAGCCTCTCTCACACGGCTGAGGTTGCAAGCGAGGCATCCAGCGAAGAACGCGAAATTGCCACGGACAAGGCAGGCAACGAGCGCGCCGGAGTCAACACCGCTGTACGCGAGATTTGAGTAATGACATAAAAGGGCACCCGCGCGAGAACTCGGGTCTGCTTTATAAGGATAATGTCATGATAAATGTATTGGGAGGCCTAGAAGACACAGCCCCATCTCTCACAAAAAGGCTTATCGCGTATAGAGCCGACGCTAATGCGGTCCAAGATCCGGAAACAGACCCGCCACAAGAAATAATGGAATTACCCACACCACCTCCTGAAAAACACATTTCTGTCAAACAAAAGAATTCTCCGAAAGCCATCAAACGTAATGTGATCGTCGATGTCGGTCAGGGCTGGCTGCTCTAGCAACGTGTATTTGTCGCACCGAACGCGTGTCGTTCAAGGGAGGGTTATTTATCTGTGGGTCGAACGTACTACTAGTAATCGATTGCAGCGTGCAACAGTCAACGTCTGAGCACAAACCCCCATCTAGCCTCGTTCTGCCATGTCCATTCCCCATGCCTCCCTTTTCTTTTTTCCCGCAATTCCCATTCTCCCTCCCGTTTGTTTTTTATGTGGAGGTGCCGACTAAACAATCCCAAAAAAAGACAGAAAATTACGAAGGCGCGGCTGACAAACACTGCACTGCTCAGCATTTGTTGCCATATTTAAATGCTATACGCTTGGTGTATCCTTAGGGCGTGGCTGAGTCCTGTCTCGCACTTCACTTACCCCCCACGTACGCACACGCCCGATTCTGGGCGTCTCGAGTAAAAGGATGGAACACAGGGCTGTACTGGTTGGCGCGCGAGCGCGAGCGCGTGTGCAGCGGGGGGCCGAGTTGAAATCTATGCACGGAATTGTACGCCCAAGAAACCAATTTTACTTAAAGCAGTCGCTTGAACCCGCTTTTCGCTTTCCCCATACATGGTGTCCCATCCCCCTTTCCCCAAATTCTTGCCTCACTCTTCACTTTGAACATTCGGATTCACTCGTTCTTTCCTCATCTGAGAGCAAACGGTTTTTTTGTGGAACCAGCTGAAACCGTTCTCAGCTGCTGCTATATTTATATATAATCACCTCACTTTCGCTTTGCAACCTTGACATATAACCGACATTGTCTAAAGACGAACGAATCTACGTGTAAAAAGACAACCCAAATCCAAGTCAACAACCAAAAAGAAATCATCGAAAAGAAAAGATGTATTCCAATACTCTCATCTTCGCCATCCTGGCAGCAGCATCCACCACCGTCGCCGAATTCGCAATCATAACCACTCCCCTCCCCACCAACCTCAACGTCCTCACAGATGTACGTTTCTTTCCCCTCCCCCCCTTTTTTCTCTCTAAAAACAACATCAACTAACCCCCAACACCCAGCTCTCCGCCTACAAATCCTCTATCCTCTCCCAAGTCTCATCCGGCCTCGCCTCTCTAACCGGCGACCCAGCTGCCGTCTCCAGCGCCGCCTCGGCACACAAAGGCCTAGCCTCCTTTGCCGCAACAGCCACCTACTCGATTCCTCCCAAAGTAACCGAGATCGGCGCGTTGGAAACCTTCTCTACGACGCCAGTGTGGTACAGTGCGCTGCCGACCGATGTCAAGGCCTACTATGACGAGTTCAACAAGGAGGTGCAGGGGTTGATTGACCAGGCCATCTTGGGGGAGAGGAAGAATGAGACTGAGACCCAGTCGGGAGGTAGCAGCCCGACGGGAACGAGTGGTGGCGCGGGTGCGAAGGAGACAGGAGGTGCGTCCGGTATGCGTAGTGCGGTGGGAGTTATGGGTGCGGGTATTGCGGTTGCGGTTGCGGGTGTTTTGGCTTTGTAGGCGGCGGATGATGTCAGGGGGTGGTTGTGGATCAAAGGTACTCAATGTCCTGGCATCGTCATGACAGGAAGAGGCCTGGGATATCAGTGGTATTTTGAATGGTGCGGCCTTGTTCTGTTCTCTTCTCTTTCGAGATGTCTGGGGCTCTGTCCCCCATCACCTTTTACGACCTTCTCCAACGATACATTGTGTCTAGGCACAAGTCCTTGCGCAAATTCTATGATCCCTTCATATCACGCTAAAATTGAAAAGTGCTCTTACGTATGCTTTTCCTTGTTTCGTTTCTGTACTTGATTATTATGGACGAGGCCATCGAAGCTCGTTCGAGTATTGTGCCGTGGCACGATCTATAAGAGTTACAATATGTAAACGAAGAGCAGAAGTAAGAAGTGCAAATGAAGCGCAAGTGTGCGATCAAGACTCTGGAAATGGAAAATAGAAAGACTATGATGCCAGGGGCAAAAAGCCAAAATCGCCAGTGACTACAAGATCGCTAATGGAAGAAGGTGTAGGAAATGCACAGTGATCAATATACTTCAGACCACTGCACTGGGGCCATTGGGTTACCCGTACTTTGCTGAGCAAATTAGCATTGGCAGAGGGTTTGCCATACCACGGCCGAACCTCAACGCTAAGCCAGTCCACACAGCCTACATAGGTAGACACAGCTGCGCGATGCGGTGAGAGCTGATATCTCTCGTCTTTCAACGATGTGTTTACTGGCTCTTCTTCGAGCCATTTCTCCTGGGTAGGCCTGCCAGCCTCCTCGCCTCACGGTCACCTTCGGCAAGCCATTGACTTGCTGTCTTCATCTGCACACCATTGATCCATTGCTTGATCAGCATAAATGGCAGCGCTACCACCATGAAGATCCAAGGAACGGTGGAATCCATCTTGTTTGCGCGGGCCATCTCCATAGCTGCAGCAGAAAAGGGGCTAGCGAAGAACATGGAAGGCTCCGGGGCTGCAGGCGAGCCGGGTTGAAGGGAAGACGGGTTCTTGGAGTCGGAGAATAGGGTGGGCGAGAGGTAGGGTGAGCTGAAGGAGAGAAGGTATAGGGCGATGAAGAAGACTTCGTTCATGGCGCAGAGTGTGAAGAGAACTTTCTGTGAATATTGTCAGCAGCCAAGGCATGGAAAGGGTTACTGCAACCAAACGGTAGCGCACTTCAGACGTACATTGTTTGAGTAGTACTGCTTCAGCAGCCAGTTCCTGCTCTCATCGACATTCTTGTGGCTGCGCGCGCTACCACCCATGCTCAAGGTGGCATACATGTGCATGTAGTGGCTCGCCAGGTCCAGGGAAATCAGCAGCTGGAACACGATGCTCCACCGAGGGAAAGCCTGGGCCAAGAAAACGAGCAGGCAGGTTGTGGTGCATCTGTCCGTGACCATGTCCAACACGGCCCCGAATTTGGTGCTCTGTTCGTATCTGCGGGCGGCATAGCCGTCCAGTGCATCCAGAAGGCAGGATACGCTGTAGAGGAGAGTGCATGTGCGTGGGTGGAGAGGCATGTAGTAGAGCGATGTTAAGGCAAGGAAGACGCGCGAGTAGCCTACCAGTCTGTTAGCTGTATAACGGGAATGGTGTGAGAAGAGCGCGCATACCAATCAAGTTGGGGATGAAGAGGAAGATGTTCTCTTGGGGGCCCTCGTGCTCCGGTCTTGGGGGCCTCACTGCTGCGCCATTGCCGTTGCCATTGGCTTGCTGCTGAACAGATGCCATGATGAAGGGGACTGTCTCTTCCGCGCAGTCGCGTACTGAAATTGCGAGCTCGGTACGTGTTGGACTTTGCGGCCTGAGATATCCCGGATTACCCCGCTGCGCTTACTGTTGGGTGAAGGTCGAGTGCGTGCGCTGATTACGCTCTGACGTACTAGGCAACAGCGATGCGTGTAGTAAGAAGAGCAGATAGAGGCTCAGAATTCAGCAGTTGTGTGTGATCCGATGCAAGGAGCCAGAGGCGACGCGTTGATGGTTGAGCGGAGTGTGTCGTGTGAAGCCGGCGGCAGCTGTTGGAGCTGTGCGGGCCAGAAAGTTGTCGAATGTCTAGTCGGCGCCGATAAGCCGATAACGAACCTGTGGGCTGCAGGAACTGCAAGGGTCGAGGAACACAGCGTTGTGGGACGAACCGCCGCAAAAGCAAAGTGAAGGTATGCAAGTGTCTGCGGGGAGAGCGTGTACGTGTCAAGGAGCAAGCTGAGTGCAGGTTTGTGGTACCTGGAAATTGAGCGCCAGAATTCCTTCGCCAGTTCGTCCGTCAGGTCCCGGTTACCCGCCTAAGCCAGATAGGGGCTTGCTTGGCACATGAGGTCAACTGCACATCAGCCCCATTGTCACGGTTGTCATTATGTAAGTGTACATTTCTCTGCTCATCCTATGCAAAAACACTAAACCCAACTACATGCCTACTCCTTGAAGCCCTTGAAACTCGACTTGGCCGCAATCTTCTTGGACTTGGACTTCATCTTGGACTGCTTCTCCTTTGCAGTTCTTGTGCTCATGCCACGATCCCCCTTGCCCTTCTTCCACTGTTTGCCGTCTTTGCGCACATCCTTTGCTTCCAGCTTCTTCTTGTCCTTTCCACTGAGCTTCTTCTTCTTGTCCTTACCTCCAGCCGGCCCATTGAGCGCTGCCGCACCCCTCTCCTTTTCAGCCAACTTCTCCTTCTCCGTCTCAAACCATGTACGTCTCGGTCGAGCCTTGATCTCATCTTCATGCACAATCAGGTTTTCACCGCGCTTGAGATCCCGCTCAGTGACAGTCATAGCACGCTCCTCTTTCTCTTCTTCCAAAACCTCCTCAATCTCCTTCTCCAGACTCTTGATCTTCTTCATCCATTTCTCCGTCTCCTCCGCAGGGACTTGACGGCTGACCACCTTGGCTCCTTGCTCGCGCGATGCCTTTACCGCTTGCTTGACCACTTTACGGTCCGGCTCTGCGGCAAGTGTACACGCTCGACCGCTTCGTCCGGCACGAGCCGTACGACCGACACGATGCAAGTAGATCTCGTGCGTCTGAGGCGCTTCGTAGTTGATAACTGTTGAAACGTTCTTGATGTCAAGACCACGCGAGGCAACGTCAGTCGCAAGTAAGTAAGAGGACTTGCCAGAACGGAACGCTTCAACAGCTTGAATACGCTATGCAGTTGTCAGTACAACATTGTATATACAGCGTGGAGAACAACTTACCTGTTCTTGACTCATGTTACCATGAAGCTCGCTTGCTTTGAGCCCACAAAGTGCGAACACAACTCGAACCCTATGCGCCTCTTTCTTTTGTCTGAAGAAAACGATAACCTTCTCAGTGTAAATCTTTTCACAGATATACATCAGATATGCGAGCCTCTTGTCTTCCTTGCCTTGCCGCAATCTCACGAATTCCTGCGTCAGCCCTTTGACAGTCTGTTTCTTAGAATCCACCATGAGCCGCACAGGCTTATCCATACCAATTCGAATCAGCTTGTCGACTGAGCTCGTCATGGTAGCGGAGAAGAGCATTGTCTGGCGTGATTTAGGGATGGTGGTGAGGATCTCATTTAGCTGGCTTTCGAACCCTTCTTCGAGCATACGATCGGCTTCATCAAGAACAAGGATCTCGAGGTTCTCAACTTGAAAGGCAGCCGTGTTATGCATGTGGTCAATAAAACGACCGGGAGTTGCAATAACCACGTCTGGCCTCGTCTTCAAAACAGCTTCCTGCTCGCGCGAAGAGAAACCACCAGCCATCAATGCAAAAGTGATATCGGTGAACGACGCGAGCTTCGTAGCAACATTGAAACATTGTACTGCCAACTCACGCGTAGGCATGAAGATGGCAACACGCGTGGTCGGGATCTTCTTCTGGCGGTACAACAGACGCTCAAGGATGGGGATAAGGAAAGCAGCTGTTTTACCCGAACCAGTCTCGGCACCACCAACAACGTCTTTTCCTTGCATGGCGATAGGAACAGCCTTGCTCTGAATCGGAGTCGGCTCCGTGAAGCCTACGGATGCTAGGCCCCGCAGAATAGGTCGCGAGAGTGACATGGCCTGGAATGACCCTGTCGCACCTTTTGTGCCCTTTTTCTTCTTGATTGTGACACTGTCTTCGGGCGCGAAGAAAGCGGCAGCCTTCTTGGCTTCGACGGCGTCTTCTTGCTCACTTGCATCTTCATCTTCTGTCTCGGCAGCCTCGAGATCCATAGGGTGGGGAACGTGAGGTAAATCTTCCTCTTCGTCTTGATCGCCGTCTGAACCATCCTCTTCATCAGAGTCGTCATTTGCCCTGTCTTGTTCATTGTCTGAACCTTCCTCCTCATCCTCTTCGTCTTCAGAGTCGCTGGGAGCGCCCATACCGAAGCCATCCTCCGCCATGAGCTCGTCGTCGTCGCCGAAACCCTCAAAGTCACCATCGACCGAGGCATCTGAGGAATCTGGCTCGGCAGTCTGCTTTGCCTTCTGCTTATTCCGCCTGCGCTCAATGATGTCGTCGACGTCTACAGCAGTATTCTTCTTTCCAGACTCCTGTGCGACCGTGCCATTGTCGTTTCCCCAGCCGTCGAACTCCTCCACAAATCCCGTGTCTATATCGCCCACAGCAAATTCAAAATCGCTGGCAATGTCGTCATTTTGCTCAATGTCCTCGCCTGGCTGTGGCATTACGTTCTCGTCTTCGTCGTCTTCGGGCTCTGGTTCGGGCTCGACTTGCTTTCCCTTCTTTCCCTTCTTCTTGTCCTTCTTTGCCTTCTTTGAGGCGACTTCCTTGGGCCTGACACCCAGGTCTGGATCCTCTGTGTATTTCCTCTTCTTGCCAGCGCCTGCTAGCTTTGCGCTCGCCGCCGCAGAATCGTCGGCGCCACCATCGTCGGACACATCGTCATGGTCGGAGATGGTGTAGACAAAATCGTCATCGAAACTGGGCGCCATGGATCCGAGGAGGGGAATTTGCAAGGGAATTGTCGCGTGTGTACAAATTTCACAAGTCGCAAGCGGTCGCAAAAAAAGTTCGGCCCCGGAGATCTCTGCTGCCGCATCCCTGCAAGCCAAGGTGGGGCGCCGCTTCTGCCGCCGCTAACTCGTCTTGCATAGTATGTACACTTCATCCACGGCAGACCGACTGGATGCCACCACATACGCTTGTCCAGGCTGTTGGCCACGACACGGCATTTGCTTCTATTGACTATGTATTTTTTGGCCAGCCACGTGTCTTGTCTAAAACCACAAACGGCTTCATTGCAGCCCTATCTGGGTTTTCCAACAGACCGTGCCCACGGACGCGTCTGTTGAACAGTGACACAAGCTCATTGGCCAACAATCCCCCGGCGCATCCAGAAGCCATGTTGGTCTGGCTCATATTCATCAATACAGAGGGCATCATTTGGTCTAACATTGTCTTCCCAGTCCTGTGCAAAGAAAGACTACATGAACACACTTTCGTTGAACTGACACCATTCCACCGGCCAGCAAACTCACTAACCTTGCATCTAACCAACTTGGCCTCCACCTCCACCTCCAAAATTCTACAGCCAAATCGTCACCAACATGTTGGAGTCGAGGTCTTGGAGCCCTGACAGAACCATAGTCTAGCTATATGCCATACGTCATGCAAATAAAACCGCAGAGTCTAAATTGCTTTTCGGGAAGACTACGGAAGGAGTGGCTGTCCGTGGGCCACAACCGCCTTAGTATGGTGTCCTGAAAACTGCTTAGTTCGGGTCAAGCATGATCAATTGGCTTGGGGCCAAAATTGAGGATCCATAATGACATCGGTAGTGCTTTACAATACTGCACATTGTGAGCCTCTCATTAATCCACTCGTACTTCCATCAAGTATAAGTACAGCTTGCAGCCTCGGCAGAATTGAAACACAAGAATACAGTCCAAAAAATCTCCTTCTCTTCTTCTTCACTAAATTCACAACCCCTCGCCAACATGCTCTTCTCTCGCCTTTCTCTCTTCGCAACCCTCCTCAGCGTGGCCACTGCTTGGGAAGGTAGGCCATACATGCTTACCCTCTCATTCTACTGAACTAACGAACTCTGAAGCCACCTTCTACAATGCTCCAGACTGTGATGCCAACGGTCTGACCATCTACCGCATAATGACTTCAGACGCATACGGTGCCTGTGTTGAACTTGACGGCACCTTATATACCAATGTCGAATGCCGACAATACATCAATGGCGGTGCTTCCAATTCCGAATGCACCGACGACAACATCTTCCCAATTTCGACTCTCTTCACATACGACGGCACCTATCAGTGCCGCTCTTACTATGATGCTGGCTGCAAGGGACTGTACGATGAGCAGTCAAAGCATGTAGTCGGTGCACCTTATCAAAAGGAATGTGCGACTTACACCAGGCAGTACAAGTCTTTTGGTTGCACCAAGTTGTAAGTTACCAAGCAGGCATTTTCCTGGATAGGGTAGTTATGTCTAATGTATTTTTTTATAGTTCGTCCTAGTGTTTGATCATCATGAAATGGTGAAATGGCGAAATTTCGGAGAAGTGACGGATGCATGGTTTTATTGAAGGCACAAGGAAAACAGGATGACAAGGTATCCAGACTTCAGTGGACTATTAGAGCCAATGACATGAACGATATCTGAAATGACTATACTACTGCCATGAATGAAAAGATTACAATATCACATATTCTACCACTGCTTGTGGTTCTCGAACTACTCCCCACACCCCATGACTTCCTATTCGGAAATAAGTTATCATTTCTCTCCCTTGTTTCCTCCTTGTGCTACTGGTAAGCTGACCGGCTTCTCGTACAAGGTGCTTACTGCCTCTCTACGTGTTCAGGAAAAGCTTGAACGTTGATCACATTGTAAATAAACTTTATACAAAGGCTTATAATTCATGCGTTATGTAGGATTGAGATGCTATCTACAATGGAATACGGTCACCAAACAATCTTCGTGCATTGCTAGCAAATATCCCAAGCCTCTCGGCATCCGTGACAAACGGCGAGGTCTGAATACCAACCAACGACGGACCATACGTGAAAATCGGGGCATACGGGAAATCCGTGCCAAAAAAGAGATTTGTCGTCGGAATATCATAAGCCAGCAAGCCCCCAACCTGGTGAAAGTACGTTGGACCCGCAGAATCCCAGAAAAAGCGCATCTTCAGGACATCCATGGTGCGATCGTAAATCGCGGGGAAGGATTTCAAGAGCCGATCGGTGACTGAAGGAAAGGCGCCGCCGACGTGCGGAATGATGTAGTTGATGTTGGTGAAGTTCAGCAAGGTCTGTGTTACGGCAAGATCGCCCAGCATACGCGCAGTCTCAAAGTAAAATTCAATGTTTCCTGTAGGATATACAGTAGGATTTGCCTCGATCAATGTGCCGTTGAGGCGTATATACGGTGTTGTAGGGTGCACGTATATGATTTGATTGCTCCCACGCGCATTCATGGCCTCGAAGAAAGGCTTAAAAGCAGCATCACCGAGATAACGTCCTTCGAAGTTCGAATAGAGCGCGATACCAGCAGCGCCCAAAGTGTCGAGCGCGTATGTAGCTTCGGCGATTGCGTTTGGGGTGTACGGCAACGGGACGACAGCGTAGAATGTGAATTTATTTGGGTAGGCCTGAGCAAATGCTGCAGATTGTTCGTTGATCAGTCGTGCAAGCGCAATTGTGGCGGCCTGGTTTCCGGGATATACATTGGCGCCAGGCGCTGAGAAGGCCAGAACGGCTTGAGAAATGCTTTGGCTTGCCATGAAGTCGAGGTGTCCAGTTACGTTCCATGAGGGCGTTGGATTCCCGCCGGTTCTAGGGACGATTGCACGGTACCAATCTGGTACGCAATGCGCTGCAGGATCTGTTAGATGCGAGATCGATATGTGAGAATGCGAACTTACCATGGACGTCGATAAGTCCAGTGAGATTCGAGATAGCTCGCGCTGAGACCTTTGTCGTGGTGGCATCGGCGTACGTAGAGGCTATACTTTCAAGTGTAGAAGACAGATCCAGGCCCGGAACAGCCCCAAGGTCGATTGAGTCTATGTGGCGATGGTCAGAAGTCCTGCAAGCGAATTTGTGCGTATAGGAACCATACCGGCTGCAGCGCGTTGGATGATGGACTGAATGGCATCTGTCGGCTCATATACTTTCTTGGACGAGCCGCTTACACAAGTAGCGAATGCAGCTGCCCATCCGAGTAAGGCAAATGATTTCCGAATAGCCCCCATCTTGATGTGATGTGAATGAAACACGGGGACAGTTGAGGATGCACAGAAACAAAAGTTTTTATGCCTTGTGTATAGTAATCGACAGGTACATGACCCAGAACAGGGAAGCATTCCATCTCTAATTACTAACCAATAGATGCGCCCTGAACTCGATCTGTCAGCAATGGCACTGCAGTAGTACGGGCGGGAGCGGATAAAGACGTCCGCGCTAAGCCCAGATCTGTAAGACAGGCAAGGCCATCTAGTAAACGAACTCGAACTCTGCAGCTGTATATTTGTATGCACAGATTGATTGGACGATTCTGTAGGCCAGACCTCTCTTACCAAGCATCAACCCATGTCCTGCTCAGCTGTGTGGGACTACCACCAGATGTGTCCTTGGAGCAAGGTACGCCACCAATATCCTCGGCAAGCACCTGAGTCCGTAGCTGACATTTAGGGGCCAATATCACCAACCCGATCAACCGCAAGTCTTCTGAGAACTCTATCCATTAGGCGACAAAGATGTCTTTGTCTTGAGTAGTCAAAACAGAGGACCTCATAATCGTTAATGATTAAGGCTGTCCAGGGCGTAAACTGCCTAGGCGGCTTCATGGAACGCACCCTCCAGGGCATCGAACACGCCTTCAGTGCCAACTTCGACACCTTTTTGTATTCAGCACAAAAGCCTCTTTGGAATTCTTAACCCCTGTGAAGATATGTGCGCCCATTTACAATCAAGGCGGCAAGCGCTTTTTTAGCCAGCGACGTGTTGTTACACACAAAAAGAACAATAAGAAAGCGAAACCGAAGACCAAAGCACGAAATCTCTTCACATAAACCTATTATCCTTTTCTCAAGAAGAACTAAAGAGAAATGTATAACTATCATCATTCATGTTTCTTATCAAAAAGAATCTAAGCCTGAGCAGGTTCCCTCTCCTCAGCAGAAGGCCCGCCCACATTACCCCTCTGACCCGTCGGCACATCGCCCAGATTCCTCTGAGCAGCATGCGTCGGATAATCCTTCAGCGTGCTAATATCCCCGCCACTCTGCTGATCCTTGACGCCGGACGCCAGTCCAGCAAGACCTTGTCCAACACTCGATCCATCATGCAGCTCCTTGGACGTCTGACCCTGGCCTGGGTGGCCAAGGCCAGTGTGCACGTCGGCGGATGTGGCGCCTTGGAGCGTCTTGGAGGCTTGCTGGTACATCTTTTGGTTGTTGAGGTCTGGGTTGGGAGTGTAGGTTTTGTCTGTGGGGGCCGAGCCCGCGGGGAGGGTTTGAGCGTGGAATTCGGGGACTGCGTCGTTACCGACGAGTTTGCCGATTTGGTGCTGTGGGTTTGGTTAGCTGGGGTTGATGAAGAGGTAATTATCTACGGGTCAGATTGAGCCATCGCCACATTGGAGTGATGCAATGTGATTGATCAAGACGCTCCAGTATGCCCTCTGAAAAGGAAGACAGCTACTTACACCACCAGTCATAAGAGGCTCGCTAGGAGCTACATGTCCTGCAAACTGGCGCGAGTCGCTGACTGCGTCGGGGTTCTTATTCTGGCTCATGTTAAGATACGTGTATTTGTAATTGGGAAATTGAAAAGTGTCAACGATTCAGGTGAGTTGTTGAAAATATGAAGATTTGTATAATCTGAATGTACATCTTTCGCACGAAAGGCTATTTATGAGGAGAGATTTGTGTATGTACATGGAGGGCGTCACCACTTTGACATCAAGTCGACGTCATGCATGGTCCACCGCTAAGTTGAGCGCTGAGGGCGTAGACAGATCTACTGAAAGAGCGGGTACCTGACGTCGATTTTGCGATCTGGTGTGACATGATTTTGTTTTGTTATGTATACGAATCGGCGATGGTGGAGATTTAGAGAAGTTGTCATGAACGACGCTAGTAATATGAAGATGCTCGGAATCAAATTCCGGATGCATTCCGACACACATGTATCCCATTCGTAATATTTGGAAGAACTAGCACATATCAGTTTTCCCATGAATAAAAAGGGGGGTGTCCTGTCGGCACAGCTCAGCATACTAGATGGTTTCATTCGAGATTCGGACCATGAAAACCAACTGTGCTTGCCACCAAATGTCAACTATGCAATAATATTCACCTATATTGTCCGCTAGCAATTACATTATTCTACACATATATATGTAGTGTGCAATAAAACTTATGGTTATCCTCACTATTACACTTCAATCCAGGACTTCTCACGATCGCAGATCCTGGAATGTCGCATTTAGTAGCCAGGAAGCTGCCCGCGAACAGCACCAGCAATAAACATGGAGGTATGCGAATCGGTAAAGAAACTCTTGGGGTCCTTAACAATCTGAGAGACGTGAAAGCCATCGGCTTGATCTTTACCGGTCGCTGAGTTGGTCACGTTGACGAAGAGGGGGCCTTTCAAGCATCCAACAGAATTGCAACGGTAGTCGGGACTAGTTGGGTTAGGGAAGGCCTAGAGCCTATCAGTAAATATTGTTTGTTTCCAGGAATGTGGGTAGAGTGAAATTTTAAAAGGGCCATGCTTACCAGGCGGGGTGGGCCGGGCTTGCCCTTAACGCCCTCATGGATGTGTGTCGCGGTTATTGCTGGGCTTTGATATTGGCCAGTCACGCCGCTGAGGGTGATGTTGTAGCAGATTACGTTCTCTGCGATATTGATGCCGTACTTGAAAAGGCCACGTGCACCGTGCTCACCAGGTGTAGGAACGCCGCTGTTGGCAATGACTTGGTCAGGAGTGGCCTTTACGACATACTCAGTGTCAAAGTAGAAGGTCTTCTCCTTCTTCCACCACTTGTCATCGTGTGAGTTCCACACCTTGTCAAACTCCTTCTTGCAGCTCTCTTTGTAATCAGATGCCTGAGTTGGGGCAGCCAAGGCCAGAGAGGCACCGAGCAGAGCAACAAGGGCTTGAGTAGTGAAGTGCATTGTGAACACGTTATGCGTCAATGTGATTTCAGATACGCGTGGTTTGTGGGTATAGCGAGGAGAGTGAGTTTATGGGTCGATGCCGTTCTGAATTCATCCTTACACCAGTCTTTATACAAAAGCGGCTCTCCGCTTTCTCGCAAAATTACCACGATACTTCCCATTCAGAGCCCAATGACATCAGTGAGTAGATGAGGATTAATAATTGGTTCGTGTTTAGGTTCTGAGGATACATGCCGGTGTCTTGGTGAGGCTTTTGCGACTGAGCAGCCAAGTCCCCAACATGGATATGAAAGCCTTTTCGTAATGCCAAAAGGCTTGGAAGTGAGAGGCATGCCCAAGCGCTTGGTTAGTGGTCTTGGAGCCGTCCTTAGAACATAAGATGATCACGGGCATTCCCATGCAAAGCTACTGAGGTAAGCATGTGGCCAGGGGATTCATCAGTTTGCAGCACGATGGACCAATGAATGGCGGATTTTAGTGGTACTGTGAACACGCCGTTCAATGTCTTGGTATTGGTATCTCCAATCTCTTGAACAGTGAGCTTACATCTTTTTCTGTGGCATGATCGCTCCCAAGACATCGCCTAGCTGTCTTGGTTCGGATAGACCAAGATCTGTAGACGTCTCAATTCTCAAATGATCTTAGCCTTTCCGTGTCTTCACTCTTGGATGGTGGTGCATGTATCCAGGTGGCTATGTGTGACAAAAAGGGATAGTGAGGCTAAGACGCTACTGCATATTCTGCAATCTGTGATTACCACTGTCAATCTATGAGAAGGGTTCGAGAACCGCTTGAGACATATGATCAACATGTTCCCATCAGGTTATTTTGCACGATGGAACACATCGGGGCTTGGAGGTTGGTTTTCAGAAGATATTTAGGGGTGATAGAGAGTCAACAGACATTCGATGGGAACAGTGAATGACATCACTAATCACTACTGCCAGGACACGATGCGTCGGCCTTTCCTCCTGCTCCGCTTTCCCCCTCATCAACCCGCACGCTAGTCTCTAAACGAGTCTGGGCTCTATTTGCAGTACCAAAAAGGAATACAACACCTACCTCAAAGAGGTAGTATGATCTATTTAGAAGAGCTGCAGTCTGTGCCTGGTGCGATGGGTTCTTGCCTACTTGGCATGATGCCTTGCCGAGACATTTGTTAAGGGGAAATAGAGTTCTCAAGGATTGAATGAAGAGCAATCACCCATTTTCCGCTTCTAGATATCAGCAAGGCTTCGCAGAAGGACATTTACATGATAGCTAAACACTCTGCATTGGCCAGTGCATGTGCTGACTCATCAATACATGAAGGCCTATACTGTCTGATGCTGTTATAAATTGGTTCTTCCAGGAATTTTGGTATTTGAAACCCCTCTTCCCTAGTCATAAAGTGAGTTCTGCGAAGTTTTGTGATAGTATTGGTACACAGTTGAAAAGCAAAGACTGCTCAGAGGCATCACTACATCCCAGAAACATCGACCATCCTGTCCGAATGGCGTATGGTGCCTGTGAAGCGGCCCGTACCACCAGGAAAAAGACCATCAAATTCAACAGCGCGCGCTTCCTCGTTGTCTTCCCAACCAGTCTGCAGGTTCCAGCCATTCTCAAGGACGGTGAATTCTAACGAATCGACTTCTTGTATGATGTCAGCAAGATAGGTCCACTTAGTGCTCATCATTGCAGGAGAAAGGGCGGCCATGCGCCGGGTGAACCATGGGTGACGCGAAGCGGCGGCAGCACCCTGACCGAGGTCGATAGCTGTCTGGTCGAATGGAGCGTGAGTGAGTTTGGCATAACCGCATGATATGAACTCAATCTCTCGAAGAGACGTTTGGCGGTTGCTGTCAGCCTTGGAATAGTTGGATTCAAAATCAGAAAGATTGGTTCCAGGCGAGATCTGGTCGATGATATCCATCCATGATCCTTCGCGCGGCCTTGCCGTAAGTGGAGACTGATAATCTGTGGTGGCCAGATTGGCTGCTGGTATCGGAGCATGCATAGGTTGTCCTAAGGGATGATGCTGACCAGCTGTAATCTGATGATGTAGTTGGTTTACTTGGGCAGCGATATGAGTGATGTTTGTGATAATCGCAGTAGGATTGACTGGCTGATGCTGCTGGGCTTGCAGTGGTGTTTGTAGTGGAGCTGGCACTAGGGCTTGATTCGGTCCCTGTCCTTGGTGTTGCAAAATTAGGTTGTGCATCTGCATCTGCTGGAGTTGCTGTTGCAACTGAGCTTGCATAGCCGCAATGTGGTTTTGCTGTAGCGCAGCTGCATTTGCATGAAGCTGCTGAAGTTGTAACTGCTGAGCATGGACATAGACTTGCAGGATTTGTTGATGGGCAGGTAAGAACTGGGGGATTGCGGGCATTGCCGCTTGAGGAGGAGCATTCTGGACAGCGACTGCTTGATGGGGTACAAAATTTCCATTGGCGTTAGGAGCATTGGGACGTAGTATCGCCGTAAGCGAAACGGAATCGAGTACCAATTCCTTCAAGTGGTATGCATCATGGACTTTGACAAATTGCAACAGGCTGGAAGGTGTAATCCAGCAGTTCTTTAGCCTCAATCTCTCGATATGGGGCAACTCAAGGAGTAATGCCCGCAAAAGAGCTGCATCGGCCTCAAGAAGCGCTGCAGGGTTGACAGATGCAGGACGATCCGAAGGAACCCGCAAGTCCATGATAGGTGCAGGGCATAGAAGTTTGTTCCTTGCATAGAGCCCTTCAGCATGCTCACCGCCAGCCGTCCAGCCGACGGTCAGTTTTCGAATGTTTGAGCGGCGAGCGATATGATCGCGAAGTATGGCAAATAACATATTGGCCCCTAGAACAGGATTAACTGCTGAGGTAGTAACAAAGCCAGCCTCGTCCTTGTGAACTGTTCGCCATCCCGGTATTACCATAAGAGTGACGTCGCAAAGACTGGGCAGTGCATCCCAAAAGTCCGAACGGTTCAGCATTGGCAAGTAGCGATCAGAAAGTCCTGCGATATTCAGAGTATGTACCTGTTGGAATGTGGAAGGGTTATCGATGATAGAGAGCATGTATGAAGATATGAAAGCTCGCTGGGCCCATTCCGTTTCCAACAACCACTCTTGCTGAGCTGTAGTGAGGTTGGCAGGGATGATCGGATTCACGACTTGTCCAGCATCAGGTGGCGAGGCAGATGATGCGAACAAAATACCGGTACCTAATGAAGAGGGTGCGGACACGAAGCGTTCCAAGACGTATGGGTCATCAAAGGAAGTGGGCATAGGAATATCAAGGATATCGTGTGGAGTTGCCTCATGTATCAGCTGAGGATCTAAGTAAGGCATTTCCGGCTGTACGTCAGCCAGCAGGCCGGCATCTTGGAGTTCAGACAGAGGACGTTGGCTTTCCATTCTGTAGAGGGTTGCGTGTCTGATATCACTGCTGACTTCCCGATAGCATGAATCAATGTGTCTCCAAAGCTCCTGTTGAGCTTGGGTCCTACGGTCCGGGACAGCTTTATTCGTTCCAAAAACATTGGAAGGTCTGTGAAAAATGCGCGCCCGTATAGACTTGTCGGGCCCATTGAGCCATCCAAGGCCACTGTCGATTGAGAGTGCAAGTTCTTTCACCTCGGTGAGCTCAGAGAATGCGGTTTTCATCCGCGGTGTTTCGTCAGCGGCTGTTTCGAGGCCAGCGACAGCATCAAATCGACGGTACTCTTCATACGGCCACTCATATCTACCCCAAAAGCTTGTTTTGTTCTCAGTTAGTGATTTTGTGGGCGGCGCTGAAAGTGAGTCTTCATTGACCTCGAAACTCATTCCATATCTTCGAATGTGTTTACCGAATCCACGAAAGACGTCAAGGCCGTGGCCGTCGTACACTTCATCGCCGTTGGCGTTTTTCCAAGAATACCTGGTTGTCTCGAATTTTGCCCGCTTCTTCCCTTTCAAATCGGGCTTTGTTTCTGTCCCTAGCATACCGTAGATTTCAGTGTTGAAAGGGACGACAACTGTTTTGAATATAACCTGAGAGACATAGTGATTCAGCTCGCGGCTGACAAGCCGTAGTGCTTTAATGTCGTCACGATTAAGAAATGAAGCAATCAACTCTACCAATTCAACAGGCAGCTTCCACTGTGAGCGGCTAATCAGGGCGTCTGCGGGAAGAGCGTATGCTTCTTGTTCCTGTTTGGAGACTATCCCTTTAACTCCACCGTTGTTGGAGGTCTGTGGCTTGGGACCGGATGCATACTGTATGTTATGGTCTAGGAAATGGTACCTAGCAGGCAGTTTTGCTGGGCTGCGGCATTGAGGCCAGATGTCGTTTGCTTGCAAGTCTGGACCTTCACTGTGATATACCATGACAGCAACGGCCCCATTGTTGCGTAGCGTACTGCTCATGTCCTTGTCCTCAGCATTTTCGATTGTCTGGCGAGGGCGCTTGGAAGCAACGGCCATGACGCGGTGGAGGGGATCGAATGTGCGCTCTAGTGACATGTCATCTACCACCGACTGTGCCTCGTCATCATCCTCGTCCTGTTCGGGTTCGTGGGGGCGATCAGGCGACAAGCGAGGCCGACGTTGTTCGGGAGCGCCGCCCTGGGCTCTCAAGGGAAGCCGGGAGGTCCAACATTGGCCACCCCCGCCATCATGGCTGGTGTTGTTTTGCTGCTGCCCGAAAGCACTGGAGAAGTCTTGAGGGACGCGCGGTTGCATGGTAAGAGTGAGATTGTGTCTGATAGCGCTGGCGAGGACGTCGTCGCAGTTTTGTTGCCTGGGTAACGTAGTATTGCTGCTGCTGCTGCTGCCGCGTCGCGGTGAGGCAAGGACTCGATTGCCGCTTCTTCTGTCTCCCCCGCGCGGGGCTGTGAGCGGGGGGCGGTAATGATGGCTTGTATACGGCTCTTCCTCTGCTGCCGCTATTGCGGTTGTTGTTGCTGTTGCTGCTGATGCCGTCACTGCTTGGCCGGTGACTGTTGTGGACGCTGCGCAGGCGAGACGGCTACCGGGCTGGCTGGCGCGCGCAGTTGTGATGGGCGTGTTTGCGCGTGAAGCAAGGCTAGAGGGGTCAGCGAAAAGCGACGCAGGCTGTTTGCGTAAGCTTGTGCTTGCAAATGAGTGTTTGTCGCGTGAAGCTCAGGGTACCTGGGCTGTGCTGCTTGATGCCGCCGTTTGCATGCTGGGATCGTGCCGGTGCGCCCTCTGCTGCGACGAGCGCAATGTTGGCCAAGGCTCTGCAATGGCTTTGGTGTCGGTCGTTCGACTATCGTCCGGTGCCATGCTGCTAACAAGTCGGCTCTCGGTCGTCGGGTGTCGTCCCGGCTTCATTGCTTAAGGTACAACACGGCGGACATGCAGCGTGACGTCCATTGCGCAGTACCTGCGGTAGCACGCCCCGTTTCCTCTTGCTACCGACCATCTTGGCCTTCCTCAGGCCTTTAAGCGCATGTACATATCAACATAAGGCGCTCTTCCGATTCAGCAACGGACGTTGATACACTGTCTTGAACCGCATGTGGTTACATGATCCATCTTGCACATGTCAGAGACGTCACGTGACTATCACAAACTGGCACACGCGCAACACCTCGCTGAGCATCGCCGTTTACTAGAGGTTAGACTACCCATGCAACTACTTACCCCATTGATCAATTTCCCTCCAGCTGAACTTACACTCACAAAGTCACGACTACGCTGAAGTGCCACGGACTACGTGCGGAGCGAATGCGGAAGTCCGATGGCCCCCGCAGAGCAACAACATAAAGGAGCTTAGAGCGCGTCAACCAACAGACTCCTGGATATAGCTTTGGGCTTGAGCTACATAAGGCATCGGACCTCCTTGGGTTCTGCACAAACCATCATGTCCTCCGCCGGTTCATCGTTACTCTTGTCCTTGCCCCGTGAACTGCGGGATGAGATTCTATCCCATCTCACACTACCACAATACGTCTATACTTCAAGTACAACCAAAGACACCCACAATTTGTACCGATCGAATCATGCTATGGGGGAGACATACATAGACACGCGTATCAGGCTGCCTCAACGTCCGCCTGCAAATATTCTTGCAACCTGTCGCCAGCTAAGACAAGAGTGTCTCGAATACCATGCCCGCTGTCTGCACGCCGCCCAGCCAAGCAAATCACCAAATCCTACAGATCGGCCTATGAGCAACATACTGGCAGAAAGGCTCGGCTCCGAGTTCACAGAAGAGGCGGAACGAGCTTGCGACGATAGTACGCTGCGAATCACCATAGAGATACAAAGGTCTCTGCGTGGCCCCCACGGGTATTACATTCCCATACGCGGTCATGATCATTTATCACCTCGTTTTCTTGGACTTTTGCCGCTCATGGACAAAACAAAAAAATTGAGGCTTATTCTCTGGCCTGGGTATGAGTGGTGGAACGGCGGTCCTCAGCTTCTCGTTGACAAATATGGAAATCCTCGCATCAATGCAGATGAGGTACCCAAGCCAGATGCCGCCACAGTAGCCATCAAAAGTTTGCTTGATTACTTCCCTTATGTTGAAGAACTCAGTGTAGATGTGCTCATGAAAGCATCAGAAGGGGAAAGATGGGACCTGCCGGAACGAAAATGGGAGAACATGCAGCCATGGCTCGATGCACCTGTTGCGCCTAATGTTAGCCCAAATTTGACCAAAATCACTCGTCATCTCACAGCATTTTGGGAAGCTTCGAGGCCAGAGCCATTCTATGTTCAACATGAGGTGCGTCTTTCAGGAAACGAATGGAAAGTTGACAGGAAGGGCGACATGGGCACAGTAAGTGGATTACTAGGTCTTATCCCAGCAAGCGACATTTGCTGACCTGTCATATGTGTAGCCTACATTAAGATCATTCTGTGACACCAGCCGCCCAGACGACATGGACTATTTAGACTCACTTATGGTGGAGCAAGCTTTCGTCCGCACAGACTGAAAAAAAGCTTGTTGAATACTATCAACAGGATTCTTCTTGCATCCGTGCCGGAGAATTATGGCTTTATTTCCATGGCGCTATCAGCATTTAAATTGGCATTCAATTAAGCACCGGCGATTTGTTTCACACGTGGGGCACAACTAGCGCAAACACTATGTACGGAAACGGGCAGCGGTACCGTGTTTCGAATGCAAGCATGGCGTTACCGGTTACGGGGTACATGGGGAATGCTGATCATGTAGGGAGAAGAACATGCGACCACTTTGTGAATTTCTTCCGTCGGCTATTCCAAGGCAAAGCTAGGTCAATTCCCCACCAATGTCTAGGACAGGACCCCGGCCTATTCGAGATGATCGACGTGTTCATGGCCAATCATTGAACATATTGAAGAGGAGAAACTGCTTGTTCTGGAATAGCTCCCTCGGCGTGTACTTAGGTTTATGTCGAAACGTCGGTTGGTTACTGTACAGGGTTTCCCGTGTATGCCTGCTCCACCCTTCATCTTGCTGGTTATACGAATCTTTGCACAATTAAAATACTTAAGGGTCAGCAATTCGCTCCAAGTTTGTGAATTCGAACCACGCCTGTCCACCCTTTCCTTTCAAAACATAATCTTGTCAACCATGAAGTTTTCTGTATTCCTTGCTGCAAGCTCGGCATCCCTTGCCCTTGCGGTGCCTGCGTCCTCTATTCAGAAGCGTGCAGACTTCTGTGATCAATGGGGCTCTCAAGTCAATGGCGCCTACACCACCTACAACAACCTCTGGGGCAAGGCTGATGCTACTTCCGGATCTCAATGCACTGGAGTTGACGGCCTCAGCGGCAACACACTCAAATGGCATACCTCGTGGTCATGGGCTGGCGGGTTCGTTACACCCTTATTAATTCGCATTAGCATCATGTGTCTAACCATACCAATAGTCAGGGAAAAGTCAAATCCTTTGCCAACGTAGTAACAAACATCAACAAGAAGTCGCTTGCGTCGATCAAGTCCCTCCCTTCAGTCTGGCAGTGGACCTACACCGGCAACAACATCATCGCAGATGTAGCCTACGATCTCTTCACTTCGAGTACACCCACCGGCAGCGAAGAATACGAGGTCATGATATGGCTTGCTGCCCTTGGCGGCGCTGGTCCCATCTCCGCTACTGGCAGTCCCATCGCTACCGTCACCCTTGCAGGCAACAGCTGGAAGCTGTACAATGGCAAGAACGGCCAGATGAACGTGTTCAGCTTCGTCGCTGAGAAACAAGTTCAGAACTTCAGTGGAGACCTCATGGACTTTCTCAAGTATCTTACTTCCAAGCAAGGCCTTCCCAGCAGTCAAATTCTGATTAGCGCTGGTGCTGGTACTGAGCCTTTCTCTGGCAGCAACGCCAAGTTCGTTACCAGCGCGTTCAGCTTGGCCGAAAACTAGATGGCTTGGTAGATCTGCGCGCTGAACACACTGCTTCTCACCAGTATGGATGCAGAAATTCTTGTATATATCTTTCCGTTATGGTGGAGTGTGGGACTTTAGTCTTTGTACATACTGATAGGACTAAGTATGCTATCGTGGACCACATTCACTCGTCCCTTTCTCTATTCATTCGCATGAACATATTCAAAATCTACTCTCGTATTGGTGATAACAATTAGCTTTTTCTTACATTGTTCAGATTTCTTAACACACGATCATATCGTCGGGAGTGAGCTTCCACGGCACCTTCTGCATTAGTGCAAGTCAGTGCACCATGCCATGTTACTGACAAGCTTTGGTTGCCGAGCACGTTCGCCCGTCCGTCTCCTTGCAGCCAATAACATCGCCCTACCAACGCACATGTCCTGAACCAAGCAATGCCATTCTGCAGACGTACTGTAGCCCGGCATTGCTATCGAATGAACGTTGCGATGATTATGCTCGATGACGATCTGCTCCTCTTCGACTATCCTTCATTGCCATGTCCGCCGCGCTGTCATCCATTGTCTATCCCGTGTCGGCGACCCAAATGCCGCAGCATGCCAGGTACACGAACTGTGATTGGGATTTTGCATCCCATCAATACTTGTTCCCGCGGGCCATGCAGTAGCATTGGAGAAATTTACAGGACTAGCTCCCCGGTAACCGGGAATCCTGGAGAAAGTCCAACACCATGGAAAGCTACAAAAAGGTCATGGATGGCCAAAAAGTTTGATCCCCCAAGCTTGAGCGGTACTCTTCCAAAGCGCAAGGGAAGTTTTTCAACATGAAGCTTCAACTCCTTTCGTTATTGCCGCTGGTATCCGTTGCTAGCACCAGCTGGTCGAAGAATCTGAATTACCGCTCACCTTCGGAACACCATCCAGCCCTTGGAATCTCAATCCACAAGGTGGCCAAGAGGAATGATCCAGCATCCGCGTATGAACCTTCCAGCTTGAACTTCACCCATGGCGTTGCCTCGGGAGACCCATACCCAAACAGCGTCATTCTCTGGACACGCGTTGCGCCTCAGAACGACAACTCGCAATCGAATGTTACAGTCACGGGCTACGCACCTCTTTTCGACCACGACAACGAAAAGTATGTGCAGATTTCCAAGTCACCAGTTTGCGTGGAATACAAGGTCTGCGAGGACAAGGAATGCTCGTCAACGGTCGACTCGGGCAAAGTATACACCAGCTCCGATGTTGATTTTACGGTCAAGGTCGAGGCCAAGAACTTGAAGCCATACAGCACCTATTACTACCAGTTCAATGTATGCGATTCGGACAACAAGAGTCCTCTTGGCCGCACCAAGACCACACCAAATGCCGATGATGACATCACTAATGTCAGGCTTGCTGTGTACAGCTGCTCAAACTATCCCTTTGGCTTCTTCAATGCGTACGGTAACACCGTGCGAAAGGTCTGTTTTGCTACTTGTCGAGTCAAATCTGCCCTAAACTAATAGCGATGCAGGACTCTGTTGATTATGTTGTTCATCTTGGAGACTACATTTACGAGTACAAGAACGGCGAGTATGGTTGGGGTAGCAGCATTGGCCGTATCCCCCAACCGGACCGTGACATCTATACTTTGTACGATTACCGCAAGCGACTTGCAACCTACCGCACCGACTTGGATCTTGTTGCCAGTCACCAGGAATTTGCATGGATTCCTGTTTGGGACGATCATGAAGTAGCTGATAACACGGTATGCTCAATCCTTCTTCTATACAAAAATTACTATTAACAATCAACAGTATCGTGACGGCAGCTCCAAGCTCAACAACACTGAAGACTCTTTCATTTACGATGGAGGTGTCTCAGTCGACCAACGGAAAATGAACGCAGTTCGTGCCTACTTTGAATGGATGCCAATTCGCCAAGTTGACATGGACGATAACCTGCGTATCTGGCGCTCCTTCTCCATTGGCAAACTGGTCGATTTGATCATGCTCGACACACGCCAATACGATCGCTCGATCACCGATCTTTACTGGAATACTGATTACATTCACGCTATCTCTAATGATGCCAGCCGCTCTCTCATGGGCGCTAACCAGGAGAACTGGTTCTACCACAGTCTCTCGCATTCGGCCAAGCGAGGCGCAACATGGCGCGTTGTTGGCTCTCAGATCGTCTTCTCGCGCCTGAACCAGTCCGCAGCATACGGCGAAGAAAACCCACTTAACTACGATGCATGGGACGGGTATCTCGCCAACAAGAACCGCACGCTGAACCACCTTTACAGCAACAACATCAACAACAACATTTTCCTCGCTGGAGACAGCCACGCCTCGTGGGTCAGCGACCTCATCTGGCTCGACGAAAAGAACTACGATCCAAGCACTGGCGCCGGCAGTATCGGCGTCGAGTTTGCTGGCTCGGCAGTAACTTCACCATGCCCCTATGGCGCAAACATTTCTCTTGCAACCGCAAACAACTACTCGTCCATTATTCAGTCGGCGAACCAGGAGTTGCAATGGCAAGACTTGTATTACCGCGGTTACTTTGAGCTGCACTTTTCGCATGAAGAGCTGACGGCGAAGTTCTTTGGTCTGCCGACGGTAGTCACGCGTAATGGCTGGGAGATTCCTCTTGCCAACTTCACAGTCAAGAGCGGAGAGAACAAACTCCAGCGCCCCGTTGCGGGCGGTATTGTTGAAAGCGGTAGTTTGAAGGGAGGAAAGACGGTACAGAATAATCTTACGCTCGATACTAACAATGGAACTTGGTTTGTTAGCCATGCCAACTTGTCTGTTTTGTAAGGCGACGAAAAAGAAAAGAAAAGTAATCTAGTGAAAAACTGGGATCAGAGTTGGGTTTATTATTAGAATTCCAGAGAAGAAGAACAAGAAAAATCTAGAATTTGTATCTTGACTAAACTAATTCTAATATCATGATGTTTGGCTAAATAAGAAGAAGAGACTCTATGTCTATGTCTAGGGAAACGCATCTATTCGTACCCAGCTGGTTCGGGCTGCTCGGGGAACGCAGGCTGATCCAAACGACTGGTGCATGCAGCCTTCCAGTTCTTGGGTGTGTACTTGTCAACGATGCCCTTGAAAGCTTCTAGCGTGCAAAAGGTCGTGTCGCCCTCGAGATGCTTGCCTGGTGCTTTGCAACCTGGTATCTGCATGATCTTGTCGTTGTACCTGATTCGTACATAGTAGTCGTTCAACTGGTCGCGCTGGGTCTGCGTAAGGTCGGTCAAAGGCTTTCGCGCAATGCCCTGGGGTGCGAGACTAGCGTCTGAAATGACTCTTGTGCTGCCAAAGAGGGAAGACCACCAGCTTTGGCTTTGGGGCTGTGGGTTCTGTTCGGGCAGAGGAGGCGTCTGGGTGACAGTGCTGGCACCTCGCTTTCTGAACATCTCAACGGCGATATGGGACGTGAAGGGCGGCCAGTTCTCGCCTTCAAATGCACCGAGTGACGTCAACATGCCGGCCAAGGTCGTATCGTGACAGCCAGACATGGCAAAGCGGATGTTTGTTTCTCCGCCTCGGCCTTTGCCTAGCTGGCCATCTACACCGCCTACCTCGACGATCCCGGAGTTTCCGTTACGTTCGACGCTGCCGACCATGCGAGATGTGATGTCGCCCATCAGACCGCCGATGCCGAGCATACGGTACTCTGATGACTCGGTGTAGCCCTTGTACCATTCTTCCACGGCAATCTTATCGATGATTGAGCGGGCTTTGGGATCGTAGAATGCCTTGGGGAGCTTGGTCTCCGGTCCATGAGCGTCAGTCGCGTTCAACGTGTCCATGATACCCGAGAGTCGTGGGTGGGAGTCAACAGCGACCTTTTGTTCATTAGGCATCCATTTTGAGAGGATTTTGGAGAGGTAACGCATATCGTCCGTATCGTTCCACCTATCAGCTGCGCGCTGTGCAAATGCGCGACTGAGTTGGGCGAAACGCCTACAACTGGCGTCGTTTGGATATAGCGTCTCATCCGCAGGTGTTCTGGTGATAATGGTTGGAGGAGGGAAATCAGAAGTTCTTGATGAGGGCGGGTAAAAGCCCCAGAACGCCTGTTGAACGGACTCTAGAGCACGTGGGATAGGCGTTGCGCGTAAGTAGATCATGTCGCTGTCGGATATCAGCGCTGGCATGAACTTGAGCTGGTCGATGTAGAGATGGCGGAGTCGCTCGCCTAGAGCCAGTGTTGTCTCCCGGCCTTTGTCTGTAAGCTCGCCTGGTTGGCATATCGCATCAAACTCGCCCTTGGGTCCCGAGGCAATGACTAGGGGTTATTATTAGTGGTGGTTGCTTCGAAGGATAAGGTTTTGCTACCGGGCCCATCGTCCATGCCAAAAGTCTCTAGTCGCCTTCGGTATTTGAGCCGATCCCATTTCGAGAAATCCTTGGTGTTGAGTATTACGCTTGTTAGTTGGCGAGCAGAATTACAGTATGGCCAATCTGTGAAGGCGTCAGACCAAACTTTGGAGTTGCTTGGTGGCTATGTCATACATGCTGGGAGTCCCGTCTAGTATTGTTATTAGCGATTATCATGTGATGTGCGGAATCAAAGGCTTGTCTACGTTTTGAAAGCGAGGTGAGACAGGGCTTCTTTCGCCTGGATACTCATGTCAGTACTGGTGTGTGGACAATTGTACCGTGTTAGAGAGTCTGACCATGACGTAATAGCTATTTCTGATTAGTAAAATTACAAAGAGATGTCACAATCATCTGTCTTACGATCTGTACAAGCTGCAGCTCGAGCTCTCTTGGATACAGCTTCTCAAGCTCGTCTTTTGAGTAGGGTTGACGCGGGACTAAGGTAGTCATGACTATATGAACCAAATAATTGCAATTACACTAAGAAACCGTCTTCTATAGTCTGCGGAAAAGCGAAATCAGGTTGGGTCCGGTGGAAGACGTTCTTCACGACGTTTGTAATCACGTGAGGTGTGTGGACGTCATTGTGTCTCATTGGCCGGCGCTATTCCGCTCGGTCTCACGATGCATCGCGCGTAACTTTGGCCGTCTTTTTGAAATCCATGAAGCTGCAACGTCAAGCCGTCGCCAATTGACCTGTCAAGGCCTGAAGTTGATTGCCTGCGCGCATGAAGACCTGATCCGATTCAGCTGTGTAAGTGAAGAATACATGCGCTGAAAAGTTTCGTTGCTCAAATGCCTGACCACAATTTT